CTTTCGACAGTGGAGGCAACGTTTTGTCTTGTTGGGGAGTAAGACTACTCTTGTATCGCTCGGCATCGGCTGCTCAATCTGGGTTGATGGCCAAGCGTCCGAAGCGATCAATGTTCCGTTTGAATAGGTGGGTCAGCTGCATCTTCTGTGTAATATTGAGTGGCGCAATACCGCTTTGGAACCAAACTTTTTGTCGAGCTGCGGCATACATTTTTGAGTTTTGTGTTTGTCAGGCTGATGGAAAGTCCAAGGAGAATGAGGCTTCAATGGAGCACCTTACACGGAAGAGTGTGGGCCTGCAAGAGGAATCAGGTTACATGAGGGAGCCTGCTTTTCTTGCCAGCATCCTTGCCTTGCGATTTATTGTTCATGATTTGTTTGCATGGGCTTTTGCAGGTGTATCTCGACTTGACTTGCATCGAGAATCCCACCCAGCATCAGCCCCTGATTTGTGGGGGGGGGGGGGGGGCGGCAAATCCTTTCCACGCCCCTCATTCCTTGCGGCTTGCTTGGCATCAGGTTTAGGCGCTTCAAGAAGAGACAGGAGGCCACCGAAACCTAGGCTCAAGGGGCTTGGGCACTTGCACTGTGAGGCCTTCCGCAAAGTCTTCCTTCAAGTGCGGAGCCATCTCGAGGCTCGCGTTTGCCGGTGCTCAAAGACGTGTCCGGTCTTGCGCTTGTTAGTCAAGCGTGGCTTGTTGCCTGAATGCTTCCAAAACAACTTGGCAAGTATTTTCGTTTCTCCGTTTTTTTTCCTAGACTGTACCAAGCTGGTTGCTTGCTTGGTTGTGTGGGTTGGTCGGCAAGTGAGCAAGTGAACAGTTGTCAATACGAATCGAGGCGACCTTCGCGGAGCAGGGAGTCATTGCTTTTGATGCCTACATACACTTGCTGAAGGCCATGGTGGGTCAGAACAGGTCAACCCAAGTTTTGATTTTGACAAATGGAAAAGAGGGCGAAAAAAACCTGCGGTCCTGTCTGGTGGTTTAATTTTTTGACCCCCACAAAGTCCAGTCGAAGGCGTGAGAGAGTTCCCCCAGCTTGCAGGCATTTGCTGCCAAAGTTCCTCAGAATGCCATCAGCGTCTATCAGGTGCGCCTTGTTCCGTAGGCCATTGCTCATGTGCGACAATAAGCCCTCAGGCAACCTGCATTGGACTCTTTACTCTGCGGATCGGTCACTTTAGACTAAAGACGCTTGGCTAAATGCGCTGCTTTCTGGCAATGTCGTGTAACATTTGCTCTCAGGCAAAGCCTATCATTAGCCCTTTGCTTCTTCGAAGGCTTTCTCAGGTTTTGCTACCAGCCACCTGGCAACAAAAAGTCCTGCACGCCCTTCACATGGTGGTTGAGCAATGCGATGTTTTGCCGAGGTTCTACTCTGTCATCCTGCCCGAATTGTAGCACTCATTTGCTTCGGTGTCACTGCGGCCAGTCGTTTTCATCCTTGCGCGAATGGGTTTGGCAATTTCGGCCACCGCTGCTCCGTGCCAGGATACAGAGACTCCTTGCACGATCGGAGACACCGCTTTGGGTTATCGTGGGCCTGGCCTGATTTGTTCCAGGTTTAACCCTTGTTTCCCAAGCTGGCGGGTCTCAACAGTCAGTAGTTCAACCATCGAATTTGTAAGAGAATTAATCAAGCCACCACTGCAAACTGCCATCACATGATCTTGGCGAATTGTCACTGGATGTTGGCGTGTTTGTGTTTGTGTGAGTGTGAGTGCCATGGTTGCAGCATAGCATTTGGAGGCCGCCAATCCATCGACCTGAGCGCTGGGAGGCAAGTTCTCGAGTGTATCTTCACTGCGAGAGCGAAACCAGGCAAAACCAGCTGTGGTACTTGGGGGTTGACCAATTTCCATTTTCCGGGTCCCTGGTTTTGACCGCGAGATCTTCTTTTCCCATGTAGGAAGTATCAAACCTTTGTTTTTGTGGTTTCCCAACCGATGGTCATCCTATGTAGTCCTCGGACCTGATCAACCAGCACTTAGGTTGCTGCCGCGGCAAAATCCGAGCTGGAGAAGCGAGCTCTACTTCCGCGGCGTGGAGGCCGGGGATCAGCATGAAAAGAAGCACTGGGACGATATCGAGGCAGGAGTGTTGGTAGGAAGCTGTTCAAGCAGCTGGCTTTTTCGGTAGGCGGTTCGTCTTTTCTCCGGCGTTTCGTTGGTTTCAAGAGGCCAAGCAGCCAGACGAGTGGATGAACGCCGCTAGCCTATGCGCTCGTGCAAAAGTTATGTCGGATGTCCTGAGGTGACTCACTCCTTGGATCCGCTGCAAGTGTCTATGGAGGCTCTCGAGCTGCTGGAAAGGCGCATGGACATGAGCTTGTTCTATTCTTTGTTTGTTGATCATGAACATTCAATGCTGAGAAGCATGCTCACTCGAGCTGCCTGTGTCAGAGAGTCCGGCAGGTCGTTCCCAGTATGCGCAGAAGATGCCTATTCATTTGGCTGCGACCCAAGCTGCAAGAAGACATTCGAATAAATTTAGGTTCTCCCTGTTCCAGGCATGCCGTCGCCTGATGGATGGCTGTTCGACTCGAGTTTTTGAGCAGGTGCGGCACTTGCGAGTTGCAGGTTTGTTGTGGCACCATGGCTGGGCAGCATTTTGCACCCAACTGCCGCGAACAGTCACATTGGCCCACGCTCCCGCGCTGTGTTTCTCGTCGCTGGATGCATTCTGCCAGGTCCGAAGATTGCGAAGCTGGCAGCTCATGCCACTGACAAAACTGTGATCTTTGCACTAAGCTCAGGTGAGGTCCTTTGCGGGCGCAAGACTGATGGCGGTTGACATGAAGTGAAAGTGAACGGAGTCATATACCTGACAGTATAATCTTGGCCCCTCCCAAAGATTGACATGCAATTCACGCTGCTTTTGGGATTGGGAGGTGCCAAATTGCCACCAGCAGCCCCATGCGGGCCGCAAGGTGAATCCTTGGACCATCTTGGAGTCGCATTTGCCACCGGGGGGGGGGGACGACCCAAAGACCAGACGGAACAGAGCCCCCCTTCAGGGAAATTCAGGCGTGAATCGAGTGCCACGCGCTCGTGATGAGCAGGCCATAATGAGGGAGAAATCGCTCCCTAGCCCACCAGATGCTTTGTCTTGGCATAGACAAGCGGATAGGCATGGTCTTTAGCTGACGGCGTGGACGCGGGCATCGGTGTGAAGACATCACGTGTGACAGATGCCCGCGGGCACAAAGCCACAAAGCGGTGACTATCATTTGAAGCTTCCCACATATATTTTCTGGCCATTCGCTGCTGCCCTTGGCCCCTGCCAAGAATGACACCATGAAGGCCCGCATAAGAATTTGGCCAAGGGCACAGCTCTGTCTCACATGTCGTGGCACAGAGGTGAAATATGCTCTGTTCAAAAGGTGTCCCATTCCAAGTGCCACCGAGGATGCGTCTTAGGCGACCCTCTCTGCACCTAAATCGCGGTGCACTTTATGTGATCCAGCCGGCTGCCCGCCTGCTGCGTTGCACTTGAGGCAAATCCAGCTCACAGATGAACTCAGATGGCAATCCAGCGGACATCGGGCATGCCATCGCCGACAAAGCGATGAAGTTAGTTTCGAGTTTGTGCTCAGGCACCCGCATGCTGCACAATCTGAACTGTTGCTGGGTTATAAAGCGAGTAAGAGGCATGATTTGCATGGCCCATGCAGACTAACACGAGATAACATATTCCGTCGTGTGAGCACGCGACGCAGTGGACCAGGTCTGCGCAGTTTTCCGTGTTCGCACGTTGCTGCTTAAGCCAGTCTTCAAGTTTAACACTAACAGCAGCTATTCATTGAACACAGAAGGTTGCAGGAAGTCAAGCAGCAAACTTCGGGAGGTAGTGGAACATTGTTGCATTGTCCATCGGACCAAAGTGCTGAAAAAACAAGCGTGCGGCTGCCGCTGCACGCGCCAGTAGGCTTTGTTTTCACCTCGGAGTAGACTGCTTCAGGTTTGAGGAGTGCCCGAAGCATCGGGAAGTTGCGGCTTTGTGCAGGTGGCTCAAGAGGGGAATGGGGCCGCAATGCCCAGGCTCTCGGCTCGCACTCAGCTCGCAGATTGGAGACTCCCATCCTGCCAGGCCAGCAGACTGGATGGCAAGGACGGGGCAGGCAGGGTCACTGTGGAGTTGTTGCCTTGCGCCCGGCTCAACTGTGAGATGGAATATGTCTTGTCTATATTTTTTGCTTCATGTGGAGGTGGGTCAAAAATAGGATAACCCCAACATGGCTTGCCCTGGTAAATGGAAACGTGGACTAAAACCTGCGGTCCCTAGTTTAATGTTGACCCATAACGTGTTGGCTGTAGAAACCACTTTCATCCAGAGGAAATCACAGGGGGACTCTGGCAAGCGGGGGGGAAACCGATGTCATCAAGTCCAACCCGAATGTCGGCCGGCCCATGGCTTGGCGCATTGGTTCGGGCCTCATTTCCGAGCCGCACGCGAGCGCCGGAAGCGAGTTTCAGCTACTGATGATCCAAATGGCCGTTGGCTCAAGCAGTGTAAAGAATGAGAACACATGTTTCAAACATGTACTGAGCTTGCCAGACCCTTCATGCCGCCTTGTGCGACTTACTTGTTTGCATACAATTATAGCTATGCGGGATGCCGTGCGGATTGGCGGTTACAGTGCCAGCATCTGAGCTCGCTTGTTTGCGATAGCCAGCAGAGTGAATCATTCTGGCCAAGGCTATGTGGGGTGATGCTGATTGGATCCCGGGACAGTGTTGCAGTCAAAGTTTTACAAATTCAGATGTCTTGAGCCTCCATGCTCGCCAGCCCGATGCCCATTCTTGCACATGCCAGGCTTATTGAGAAAGGGGACGTGCACTATCTCATGGGCGACTATCTAGCTGAGACGACCATGGCAATCATGGCCAGGCAGAGAGCCAAGGAGACAAATTTTCGAATGGGAGCTGCGGCCTGTGACTCTCACCTCGAGCCAAGCTCCAGGATCCCAAAGCTGGCTTCGCCCGGGACATCCTTTTCATGGTCGGGAGGCATGCTCACGCCGCTGGTCTCAGAGAACTGCACAAGCGTTTATTTTTCTTCTTTCGAGCTCCTTTTTTTTTCCGCGGCATAGGCCCTGAAGAAGAAGGGCATCAAGGCCAGTGGCGTTTGAGTCGGCGAAACGAGACGTTTCGACGTTTCGGCCAGGTGGTGGTCAATGCGGGGGGCATGAACCCGCTGGGCTGCCGAGACATGCTGCAGATGGCTTGTGCCAAGGCCTTTGAGCAACAACTTGGCAAGAATATCCTGCAATATTCACTTGCAGGCTGACCCAGCTCGACATAGGTATACACACGTATATACGGCAACCCCCCATGATACATCTTTATTTCTTCGGACAACCCAAGTTTGAGAACAGTCATTCTGGGTCTTGTTGCTTTTGGGATGCCAGGAATTGGTTTTTTGGGACCTTGCAGCATGGTGGCACTTCCAGGCTTCAAAATGCCAGGAGGTACAAAAAACACCGTGAAAAGATGTGTTTTTTTTTTTTGGTACCTTACAGCATGTTGAGGTCTGGAAGTGCAAAAAAATGCTGTAAGGTCCCAAGAAGAGTAATTTCAGATATCCCAAGAGCTCCAAGACTGTTTCTTGATTGAACTTCCAGCACGTTGGGAGCTGTTTGGTCTTTGAAGGATTGGTTTTTGGCACCCTACAGCATTTTAAAGCCTCGAGTCGGTAAAATGCTGTAAGGTCCCCAAAAAGTAAGCACTTAGAGAACATGATTTGAGTAGATGAGTGTCATATCGCAGATCCCGTTTTGGTGGTCATTTCGGAATCCTATTTAAATCATAATTGAAGCTACCGATTCTGCTGGCATTTCTTCCGTGTTAATTTCTTTCTATACTTATAATTACAAGATTTAACAAGTCCTTCTGGGAAAGGACACCCCCTTCAAAGTTGAATAATAATTCTATTCAAATTCTAATTGAAATTCTGTTAAAAAAGAAGTCATACTGAAGTTAAAATTGAAAGTAACCATTCTAATAAAATTATGTCCTTATTACTTCCGTTGCAAATTATGATTGAAAGATTGGACCATCCTCATTGGAAAGGAAATCCCATTGAGCTCTAATTTGAAACAATATGTCTATCTAAAACCACATTGACGTTCTTCCTAAAAAGGACATCCTAGCTACATTGTGATTGAAGCTAGAATTTCTACTAGACCGCTTTGCAAAGCAAGCCATTGGGAAAGGTTGTTTGAAACATCTCCAGCAATTCTACTGGAATTCGTTCCTTGCTAAATTCTATTTCAACTCTCATTGAACAGCCATGAACCACCCTCCTAGGAAAGGACCTCTCCTTTGAATTTGAAGTCATCTTTAAACAGGAGCTGCAATCTGAATTCTAATTAAATCTAACACATTCTGCTAGAGTTCTTCCCTTTTAAGTTCTATTTAAATTCTAGTTAAAAGACTGAACAACTCCTTCTGGGACAGGACATCACCTTAAAACTCAAACTCCCATTAACTCCAATTAAACCATAGTTGAAATTTGTGTAGATTTCTACTAGAATGCTGTTCATTCCAAGCCTGCTATGCATGCAAAGGTAGATCATGCCGGGGGGGGTAGCAAATTTATGTATATATATATATATAATATATATGTACACATCTATGTATACACACGTATCATTCCAGGATTTGCATGTGCTTATGAGATGTTGGAACTTCTTGTGTAGCCACACGCCAATCTCCGATTGCCATGCTTGTGAAAGTAGGGTCTGCCCTTCTTGGCACTTCGCGGCAGGTGAACCAACCGCTGAAAATTGGCTGTGTCACGGGCGATGAGGTGACATCCAGGGTGTCTGAATTTAGAAGCTCGGCAATCTGCAGGCCCAACCCTGCCGACCGCCCCATTTATACACCGGCAGCAAACTTGCTGGATGCAGGGTTGTTTCCTGTTGACACAGGCAGCCCCTGAATCTCATGGCTTATTTGAACATTTCATGGCAGCTAGTTTGTTTTGTTTGGAGCTGCAGCCAATTTGCCAAGGAGATCGTGGCTTTTGTGAAATGTTCACAGGCGAGGCGATTCCCGCTGCAGTGGCTTGGCGATGTGAGCCTTTTGATGCACTGTAACACGTGTGTTTCATGAGGCAACTGAGGGCATCAGTCAAAATATGTTTCCTTTTTGTAGAGGACGTGATTAGGCCGTTTGAGCAGTAACTCAGCATGCCTGAAATCCGGGCACGGTCTCCTTGTCTTTCATTTGTGGCTGTGTTCCGATGGAGAGGTTTGTGACCGGACAACAGAAAATCTACTACAGGCAACCGCATCAGGTTGGACCGGCACATAAATTTGACCTGCCCCCAAAGGTTGCATAAAGTGCCAAGGACATTCCGAGCGCCAATGCTTACTTGGGGGCAATACCAATCGCTGCAGCTCTGGCTGAAGGCTGCGATGTGGTGGTGACCGGACGTGCCATGGCTGCATCTCTCCGTCGAATGACGGCTTCAGTTTCGTGCCAACGCTTCCAATTATTGTCCAAGCAACCCTGGACAAATACTGAACATTGAGCATTGACGCAACAGGTTTGTGTCAAGGTCAAGTTGTCCATGTGTGCGACATGGCGCATGTATGCGATATCAAGGTGTGGTTGACAGCGCGCTGGCGTTGGGCATTCTGATGCATGAGTTTGGATCCGCGCTCAGTTTCTCGCTGCATCGCAAGGTTGAATACAGCGACTGCTCAGGCTGGCAGCCCAACCAGTATGACCACCTTTGCATGGGAACACTGGCTGGCCATCTCATTGAATGTTCAGCCCAGTGCACCGGGGGCCTCTTCACAGACTACCAGGACCTCGACACAATTGCAAGAGTATTGCCGTCAATGGGCAGTGCCTGACAAAGCTAGAGAATTACTTTCGACGGATTCGGGTCACTTGTGACAGCAGCGCGATTACTCGCTGCGTTTTCCAAAGTGGAATTCAATAGATTCAGCTTCTTAGCCGCATGCCTACAGAAGCTTGCTGCGTGCAGGATGTCAAGTGGGAGAACATGGGCTACCCTGTGGTGGAAGCCTACCCAGATGGCATTTTGACTGCATCAGAAAAACACATGTCAGGGTACTTGTGTTTGGTTGTTGCGATGTTCTGGAGGGCGCCCCAATGATCTAGACCTGGAATCAAATCATACAGAGTCGTAGACAAGAATTTACAGCAGGTTCAACAGTTTGCACTTTGCTGGTGTTTAATGCTGGGTACGGCCGTGGATTGCTTGAGCTTGGCGAGGCACCTTTCTATTGACGAAGCCCCCGGGTACGGATGGCAAAGCCGCTTGGTATTGAGTCAGTTTTTTGGTGCTCCTGCCCTTTGCCCGCCTTCTTCTTGTTGGAGCTATGCCGAATTTCTGGACGCAGAGCATGTTTTTGTCCATGCTTCACTGGTCATACCAAGTTGATTGAAGGCGTTGCCAACCGCCATGAAAATCATACGCGTTGCCAACCACCATGAACATCATATGCGTTGCCAACTTGTATGACCCCTAAGTTTTTTTTTTTTTTTTTTTTTCAGTTGTTTGAGCTTGAATGTTTGCGTTCCAGGTAAGCTTCGGAACAGTGGCAGAGCAGCTTTGCTATGAGATCGGCGACCCCGGCGCCTACCTAGTCCCTGACGTAGCTTGTGACTTCACAATGGCCGCTTGGCACTAGCTTCAAATGGAGGAGTTCAGTCAGCGTGCCGCGCAGGATTGGCTTGACTGGGTTTTTGAAGACAGCATGTCGCGTGTTGTGATGATCATTGCTGCATGATGCCGGTGCTGAGGTAAGAATAGAGGAGGCAGGATGGTTTTGTTGTTGCTTCTTTGTCAGCGTCCCATATCATTTATTAGCCATGCATCTATTCTATGCTCCTGGTAGCTTTGCACATGGCACCGGGATGCTGCACCAGCGCAGCAACTCTGCTAAAGGGCAAACGCTGCCAGGAAGATAGGGCGTAAAGTATCTGATTCGCTTTGGCACCTTGAAAACGGATCGCTTGTGTACCTTAGTTTGGGACACTGTGCAGTTCACCTTTGTACAGTTGTGTTAGGCGCAAAAGTGATCTAGAATGGCCGCCCCCTCTAGTGTTTACCTAGGCGCGTTAGTGATCTTCTTGGGTAGGGACGTGAGCCGGCAATGTTGTTTTGGTGCGGGCTCGTTTGCAGTGCTGCTCTTCATGGCATGTTGGCACAACATATTGAAGTATGTTTTCAGGACTGACATAAGTATGTTCAAGTACGAAGGTGAAACCCAACCCTCCCAGATTGCCCTTCCAAAAAAGAGCAGCGGTTCCAAAACGTACCTCAGCAAGCTTCATGTCGAAATGTTTGACTACTAGATGCACAGCAGCATATAAAGCCACAGCTCCACGTGTCCACCACCTGAAAAGGCCATTCCCCAAGCTCCTGTTGGAAACTGGTTGCTTGCATCTCTGGTCGCTCAAAGCAAACAGCAACATCTACTCAAACTACTCAAACATGCAGTCTCCAACAAACTGCGCAAAACGGCACCCGCCAGGGTTCCACTTTGCCACTACTCCAAGATAGACGTAGCTCCCCTCTTTTTTTGGGCAATGAGCCACCCCTTGGTTGAAGTCTACCCCGTCTACCCCGTGGTCAACACGAAGTCCGAAGCGCCCACGAGAGCTCCGGAGGTGGGGCCGGAGGTGGTGCGCCTGTCTGGCGGCCGCGGGCTGCCACCAACGGACACCTACAAGGCGGGGAGATAGCCAGACACTCAGACAGCTGGCGATCCGTGCGTCAAGAGAAGGAGGCATGGAAGGCCAGCTGGATGGCTGGTGTCATTCCGTGTCTCATTCCCTGAGCACCGGCAAGAAAATGGGGGATCATTTCTTGCCAGTCGTCGTTGAAAGCCGCTCGTGCATTGAATTTGGGCGTGCGTGGACACATGAATCATGTATACCAGGCTTTGTCTTGGAACTCCAGCCTTTGTGCAAGAAGCGCTACTGTCTCTCCCGTGACCAAAGCAAGCAGTGCAGGTTTGTTGCACTGTGCCAGATGGATATGCAAGTGTGATCCCGCTGCTCGTTTGCAAGAGTGCACAAAGTACAATCTGTAGTGCACGAGTGTAGTATTCCCTGACCTGTCTTCATAGCTTCAGGATGCTGATCGCGGGGCATGACGCAGCTGCCAAAGCCAGGAGAACCTTCGAGACCATTCTTGCCAGAACCAAGCGAAAGTTGAAAGGCGTCCTGGCACGGACGGCATGTTTGTTTGTCCCCCCATGTTTTATTTTTTCCCCACGTGCTTTGGGATCCAAAGCTGCTTCAGACTTATGTCACAGGGAGGGTTTGCAGCTCAGGTTCGAACATGGAGGACTTTCGCGAGACCCGGTTTGAAGCGCTGGGTGCTGGACACTTTGACCCGAACGTCCGGGAAGAAGATGCCACTGAGGCGAGAAGGAAAGGGTGCGGAGGGTCAAGCCTACTTTGCAAGATCAAACACACTACATGGGTATGGGTCAAAATTAAACTACCAGGGGACCGCAGGTTTTGGTCCATGTTTTATTTACCAGGGTTCCATTTTGGGCAACGATTTTTGACCCACACTACATTGTGGCGCTGACTACACCAGTTCATACTCTGTGAAATGAATGTTTTTTGGCTTGGTTTCTGTGAGAATGCCTATGGGGGCCCACCCAAATTTCCCACAAGAATCGGGGTGTCTGAATGGTACGTTTGGCCGGCCAGCTTCGAGACTGGCAACTTGAGCATGTTCTTCCTAATCCTGGCAACTTGAGGGTTTCTTGACCTGCGTAGCTGAGCAGTGCTTCAGGTGGTCGGCAAAATTGGCTTGCAACTTGGAATCAATGGAGCATGTCCCAGTCGAGGGGCAAGCTCCCATGCTGAGGAAGCACAATGACAAGAAAGCAATCGGGCGGCCCGGCCTCTGTCGTGCCAGTTTCTCGTGGTGTTTTGCAGAGTGCAAGCTAGGTATGGCTGTGGGTCAAATGGTACCCTTTTGGGATAGGTGCATCAGCCATTTCTGTCTATTCTAGTGGGGATTGAATCGGATGTTCACTGGGGGTACGATTTGGATTTTGACCCATGGCCATATTGCAGAGATGGGCCTTGGGCCATTGGTTGAAAACTCTGAAGTTGCTGAAGTGCAATCATCATTCCTTCACCAGGGTTCTACTTTCTGACGACCCCAGGGTAGACTTAAACCCAGGCATGGTTCATTACCCCCAAAAGGGGAACCCCTGGGTTTAAGTCAATCTCGGGGTAGTCAACAAGTGGAACCCTCATTCCTTGCCCGCTTTTCACTTTGTTCATACAGCATGTCTTCCTTGCACCAAGGCTCTTTCTGAGAGAGATCCCTTGCAGCGGCGTCTCCATGGCACAAGGCCGGACCATTTTGGAAGACTTTTGGGCTGGAGAGGTCCTGAGGTCGAGCGGATGGCAAGGGTTTTGGAATTTTTCGGATGTTTTGTCCCAGTGCCTTGCTGACAGCTTGTCTACTTGAAAGAGACATTTTGTGATTCGTTTTGAATGGCTTTGATTCTGCGCCGCACGTGCTTCGCAAGGCACCACGGGGTTTGGAGGAACAGGCTTCAGCGCAAAGATCTCTGACACTTGCCTTGCAGAATGGACTTGCAGGTAGATACCGTTACAGTACCTGCAGGTCCGCGATCATGTGGGTGCGGGTCAAAATTAAACCACCAGGGGACCGCAGATTTGAGTCCTTGGTTCCATTTACCAGGCTCTATTTTGGGTACATATTTTTGACCCACAGCCATGTGAGTCTGTGAACTTGAGGATGTCCTGCGTGTCTTCTCGCTGGCAATCCCCAAGACGGAGGTGACCTGCGAAGTGGTGGTGGACGAGAAGCGCTTTGCAGTGCCTGTGCCCACGCAGGGCGGCTACCCAGGCTGGCCTCGGAGAAAGAAGACATGGCCGTGGGTCAACACCACTGGTACCATTGTGGGGTAGGTGCACCACCCATTTTAGTCTATCCTAGTGGGGATTGGGATGTTCATTGGGGGCTCGATTTGGATTTTGACCCATAGCCACATAGGGTCGAAACACCCCGGGAAATGGCTGTGGGTCAAAATAGGATAACCCCAACATGGCTTGCCCTGGCAAATGGAAACATGGACTAAAACCTGCGGTCCCCTGATGGTTTAATGTTGACCCATACCCAAATGGGATTTTGCACAGGAAGGCGTGACCAGGGGCCTCGCACAGGTGGTTTGAAGGGCGCTATATTGTTCCAGTAGCATCCGGCAGAGCTGAGGGGCGGAAGTGACAAAGATGGAAGCACTCTTCTTTGCCCTTGCCCCTGTGTTTCTTTACCTTTTCCTTTCCGTTTTTTCTCTTTCTTCTTTTTTTTTTTGCTTTTATCTTTCTCTTTCTCTCTCCCTCTCTCTTGTTCTTGCTCGTGCTCTTGCTCTTTCTCCTTCTCCTTCCCTTTCGCTTCCTTTTCCTTCTTCTATGTCTCTCCCGCTCTCTCTGCTCTTGCTCTTTCTCCGTCTCCTTCTCTGTCTGTTTCCTTTGTATTTCCCTTTCTCTTTCTCTCTCTTTAGCGCAGGGTTTGCAGCCTCTTGCAAGATCCTAGCCCTTGTTTTTCCTATCTTGTTAATGTTATTTATTGAAACAATCCACCCCAACCTGCCTACACCCAGCCCTAAGCCACCCTTAACCCTCCCTAAGCCAAGCCTAAAAACCTAAACCTGCACGCCAAATTTGCCCTCAGCCAACCTTGAAACCGCGTAAACCAATACCCCCCCTACCCACCTAGAACCCGCACTAAACCCTCCCTAAACCAACCTCAACTTACCCTCCTGCCCTTAAACCCACACCAAACCCACCCTAAGCTTACCGTCCGACCCTAAACCCACCCTAAAGTGGACCCCAACACAAACCACTCGAGGGATGAACGAATCCGCTCAGAGAAGGGCGGCAGCTTGACCATAGCACATGTTGTAAAGGGCAGCCTAGGTGTCAGCAAGGCAGATGACAAGCCGTTTGGGCCGGCGTGACACATGTTAAAACCGTTTCAGGAATGGAACAGCTCGACTCAGGCAGCGCCAGCCGCTTCGTGCAGGCAGTGCCAGCTGAGCCGCCCGCCTGCGCCCGAGTGCATAGCTCCAAGGATGGAAGTACATACCCCTGGTTCATACACAACTTGGCTTCCGTGGTTTCGAACCCACTTTATAAGGGGTATATACCCCTTGTGGGGAGAGGGGTATGAACCTCAGCAAGCCTTTTGGGTTCATTTGTCCAAGGGGCATGTAAAAGGGGTATGTGCCTTGGCACCCCTGGAATAGCCCGAATCTTCGCCGGCGGTTTGCCCATGGAAAGGCTGGGCCCATGGTCAAAGTGCCGCTGCGTCTGCTGGCTTGGGCGCGCAGCGGCGACAAGGGGACACTTGTCTCTTATGGGATGGCATGGGTTTGGAGCCGGTACTTGTGTGTCAGGAACATGGCCAATGCTGCTTTGATCGCGAGGACGTTTCCTTGGCACCTTTTCTTTTGCAAATCTGCAAACGTCATGCCAGGAAGCCAGAGTACCTGCCCTTGCTTCGGCACCAGGCAGACCCGCTCGCCCCGTTCGCATGGTTCGGTTTCACCTGACGCAAAGCAGGTGACGCCTGAGCGCGTGAAGAGATATTTCGCTCGAAGAGTCGAAGGTCATTGTGAACGCTTCGACCTTCCAGGACGCTTATGAGAGTAGGCTTCCTTTTTGGTTGGTTTGGGTGAAAAATCGAGGGCCCTGGGTAACCTGGTGCTTCAATCACCAGGGCCATTTATTTTCCAAGGACACCTATGTAGGGAAGGCATCAATTTCCGTTACGGCAAAAGTGACCCGACGTGTAAGCTTGGGTTGGTGGGAAATGTTCAACGAGGAATTGGTGCCATGAACTTTGTGATGGAGGTGCTTGCCTTTGCAAGACTGGATGAACACAGACCGCCTTTTGCGAGGCTGCTCTTGGCGGTGGCGGAATGTGCTCACTGCACAGCGACCCACTGGCCAAAACATTTGGACAGATTTTGCTTCTCATGATCCTTAGCGCAAGGTGGCCGTGTGGATGTCGGTTGGTGTGAGTAGTTGGCACAGTGGTTTGGTCGCCCCAGGAAAGTGGAGGTGCCGGCTTCTTGGAATTTGCAGCCGGCCAAACTCTGAGGGGCCTCGAGTGCATTTGGCACGGCCTCAGTTTCGGGGCAAAGAGCAGTACCGGGCCGCAGTGTGCGAAAGAAGCCGGGAATCAGTTTCTAGGTTTCCAGCTGCGCGTTTGAAGCCCGGAAAGTCTTTAAACGACTGCCAACGTTTCTTGCCTCAGGCGAAGGGTAGAAAAATGATGCAGTGTTTGTAAGGGTGCATGCATGTTGCCGATTGCAGAGTCGAAGAAGCACCCACACATGCACACACACACACACACACCCACATGTTTGCTCAGGTTGATGGGAGCACCAAGCCAGTATGTGGAGAAAAGGGCATGGTGTTTGCATGCGTGCAATTGCTATCCCATGGAATCAACCCTGTGAGTAAAACCTTGGAGATCATTGAACTGAGGCTCTGGGAAAGGCTGTTTGTTTCCTTGGTTGCAATGTCTGGATCCGCAGTCCCACATGGCTTGAACAAGCCTCGGGAGGGGGGAGTCGTTGGCTTCCAGCTTGTCCGGAAGCCCAGAGGCCGAGAAACAAAAAAACATGGCGTACCTTTCTGGCTTCCTTTAAAGCCAGCCCACCCAGATGTGAATCCGACAGAGAGCTGGCTTGGAGTGTTTGAGGCTCCCATACCCAGGGACGCGCCGTCGTGGAACCATGGAGGCTGGCACAGCGCAAGAGGCTCCGAACATTGCGATGGTCGCCGGAAGGTTATCCGCGAGTATGTCGCCGTCGTCAAGGCGCGAGTCTTTGGGGCAGTGGCACATGGGTATGGGTCAACATCAAACCACCAGGGGACCGCAGGTTTTAGTCCATATTTCCATTTACCAGGGTTCCATTTTAGGTACATATTTTTGACCCACAGCCACATCAAGACACGAAACCATCACTCTGGCGAGCGATTGTTTGTTTGACAGTCGACAGCTCGTTGGTGCATGCCAAGGTCTATGCATTTCCTGTTGCCGGCGTGCTGCTTGGCGGGTGCCTGAGTTTCCTGGTTGGAGGTAAGTTGTACGACTTGGATTGTGTGTGTGTGTGGAAAAACCACAGACGATGGGAGTTGTATTGTCAATGCCGCCGTTGCGAGTTCTATACCCCGCTGCGCTGATGGCTGGCGCCTCAATGGCTTCTTGAATCGCAGCTCATGTGGAAATCGCAGCTCACCAAGGCTTGGACTGTAATCGAGGGAAGTGCAGCTGGTAGCGCCAAGGACAGAAAAGGAATAGGCGGCCACTTGAACAGATATGGGCCAATCCATGAGCGACCAGTTGTAGGATTTGGTTCCTTAGAGTATTGATGTAAGAGAGTCTGAGAGGGTCAGCTGTACCGGTGACAGGAGCAAGAGCTTGAGCAGAAGGATCTCAAGCGCAACAGTCTCAGCTTGCTGCAGAAGCCACCCACACACACACACGTGCAGACAGACACATGATAGGTCGTTTCCACAAAAGTTTCCACCAAGTGCAAACCGCTACCCCAGTTGGAAATGTAAGAGTGGTAGCACAGACGCCTTGTTCATGCTCCTTGGTTCCCTTGCCAGCCCGTGGGTATCTAGCTCTTTTGACAGGCCTTTCTGAGCTTGGGTTGAGGCGGAGCTGAGAAGGAACTTCAGAAGCCCCAGAAAGCAAAGCGAGAAGGAGCCTCCCACGGCAGGGCCTTGGGGCCTTGGGAGCGTGAGATAGATGCGGCGTGCAGGACTTTCGTGGAGCCATGCGTCCAGGTGTTTCAAACGCCGAAGCAGCTACCTGGGAATTGTGCTGGGCCCAGTGTGCCAGCCCTTGCCGCGGAGAAAGGGGGGCAACGAAAGGGCTGCGACAATGCGAAAATGATAGCCGCGTCGGCCATGCTTTAACAGGTACTTGGGCAATCATCTTCTAGATTAATAGGAACCCTTGGTGGTCGGGCAGCAGAAAAAGTACTTATTTGGTACAATAGAAATGACTAGTGGCGCAAGTAATTATTTTTTTAAAGAAAATTATTTAGCAAGACAAATGTTTAGCGCAAACGGTTGCATGACACATTTGTGGACTCCAATTTTCTGCCTGCTGAGGGCACCGTGATCGCACTCAGTTTTTTAATCTCCAGACGATTCCTCTCATCATGCTTCGCTCTGCCGGCATGTGTTGATCTATGCTCCGCCTGGCAGCTGAACATGCAGGTTCCGCGATGCGTTGATGCTTTTTCAACCTCTGAGCGTTGCCAGGTCTCTGTTCCAACAAAGCCTCCTGCGCCGCAAATGGGGCAGGCTGCACAAACAGATCTGTTTGGGATGATGGGCAAGTGGCGAGATTCTCGAAGATGGGCTTTGAAGCTTTGGTTGTCCCATCCTGACTTTTGACAGGAGAGTAGCTCAAGCTCAGCTTCTGCCAGCTTCTTCCCAGACAGCATGCCAATGGCAGTGAGCTGACCGCAGGGGGTGGGGAAGTCGCAGAACTTCGACCCTTCGGATCCCAGCCAACCGCTTGCAAGGCCTTCTCAGCAGTGTCGACCTTGTCGATCGCCGCCGCGGGCCTGGATTATTTTCGATCGCGAAACATGGCGCGTGAGGGGGCGATCAAGCGTCAGATGTTGCTGTGGGTCAAAACTAGGTACCCAAAATGGAACCCTGGAACATGGAACCAAGGACCAAAATCTGCGGTCCCCTGGCGGCTCAATTTTGACCCATACCCATGTGTCCAATGATGAGCTCCGGGCAAGCAGCTGAACCTTCAGTGCAGCTGACCCGAGGCTGGACTGGCTTTACGCCGATCTTCTTTTGCACGTGCTATCCTCAGTCTTGCACCATATGGCCAGCGTGTTGTTGGCATGGGCTTGCTGTATGCGAGGTCGCCCAAGTTGGACTCTTGGTCGACGAGGCAGTTTGTCAGGATGCTTTGGTTGGCTGCTTTGAGGTGGGAATTCTTCAGTTTTTGCACAGGTGTCAACTTCACAGAACGCTCGGCGACCTTTACAAAGTCGGTGGATGTTTGGCTCTCAAATCTGGCCTCAAATCTCTGTGGCCGTTTAACGAGTCAGGTCAACGGGTATGGCTTCTTTGATCGGCAACTCTCTGGCCCGCATGCGACTCAGGGCATCTCAGCCCTCCATCCCTTGGTTCCTTAGTCCCCCGCATTTGAAACGGTGAGGTGGACTGCCCCGGAAGCGCCTGCTGTTCTGCAGGCGGCACATGCGGCTTGCAGTTTTCGGTCTTCGGCCAGAGCTGCCAGGAGCCTGACCAAGACTTGGATGGTGAGGTCTCTCTCTGGCACGATGTGTCGTTATATGCCTCAGCCTCAATCGGGATAGCGGGGCACACAGTGGGCTGTACACGGCGCTGTGGTGATTGACCGAAACTTGCGACGGGTTGTGTCGAGCCATCGCAGGTGAAGTCCTGGCTGGACGAGCCCACAGCGCTGCTGCACTACGCCGCGCACTTATTTATTTTTTCTCTTGGGGCCTTGTTTTTGTTTTTTATTTTTATTTTTGGAAGCTGCCAACCAGCCCTTTTCGAGACACCCGGCTACGCCCTGTTTTCTTTTTTTGTCAGACCCACCAGACGGCCCAGAGTCTGCTGCGGAGTTGGGCTGAGGTCAATGAGATGCCGATGGGCACGCTGCGGAAGTTTGAGGTGCAGCCTGGAGCACCTGGTAACGTCATCGAAGAGGACTTCCGATTTGTTTGGGGCGTGTGACTCAATATGGCCATGGTTCAACTCCAATGGTGCCATTTTGAGGTGCACCACCCATTTTGGTCTGTCTTAGTGGGGATTGGGATGTTCACTGGGGGGGGCGGGGTTTTGATGGCGATATGGCCAGGAATTGTAATAGGGACCCCCCTTGAAAGTGGGGTCCCGTGCTAAAAGGTGAGATTCGAAGCCAGGATGTGAAGGGCTCAAAGAAGCTGGCGAAATTTGGCCGCGCGCCCCAGTGCGGGCGGAAGGCCCTTGGCGATTAGTGTTTTGATAGGTGGGTTTGTCTGGAAATAGGGTACGGGTGTCCATTTGGTTTCCCACACCAACCCCAAAAAGGGCTGGCCCCAAAAAAGAGACAGACAGATGCCGTGCGCCCTGGCAAAGGAAAGCCCGTTCCATTCAACTACGGCTGCTTTCCGCAGACATACCGAGATCCCGACAAGGCGGGAGAGCTATTTTTTTCATGCTGCCCGTCGCCTCAGCCCAAACAGCTTGGAGACCACACCTCAGCCGAGAGCCAGACAACAAGGTAGAGACCTGAAGCACTACTCAGAGCAGCCCAGTTTTGGTGGAGAACTCGGGGCTGCTTTTGGACAAAGATGGTAAAACCCGAGAAACACCACCACGCCAGTGCAGGGGTGTTTGTTGAAGCCTCAAAGCTGAGAGCTTGTAGACAATACCCGCAAGGCACAGACCCGATGCGAATCCACAGACACATAGCAGCAATCTGAGTCAAACAAAACTAGCCCGAGGCAAACAAAGTCAACACAGCTCAGTTGAAGTAGAACTCGGCTGCTTTGAGAAAACCACGCAACGCCCTGCGCAGGCCAAAAACACCACACAAACCACCGTCACAAAGTCATACTTTGATGTCTAACGAGCGCGCTCGCGCCGTGAGAAGCAACATGCGATCAAACATTCGCTCCAAACTCAACAACTCCAAAAGTAGTTGTTTTTCTCAGCGAGGGGGGGTGAGTAGGGGGGCCTCAAGTGCTTAATCAGTACGAGTTCTTGTGCCATACTTACCTCTCGGTCGCTTCGCTCCAGTGATTTGATCGCAGGCCAAAGGGCCTTGACGGATTTGTGTCTTGAGTGAGCACTTTGTTGGCCGTGTCCAGGCTGATGATATGTACAACGCGCCCGGTGATGATGATCCGCTGGACGTGCTTGGCTCCCGGGACATACCGTTTTCCGGGGGTCGAGTCTGTCTGGGAGATGCCTTTTGCAAAGGTTTCCCACAGAATTCCACGCCAGAATGCCATTTCTTCAAGCTGCCAAGGATTGACCTGGCAGACGTGACAACAAAGGCATTGGGAGACTCTGTGTTCCTTTGGCACACCAGCGTCGAACATGTTGTTCGACAGGTTGGTGCCATTGTGCGATGCCGCGTTCTGGGGGCAGTTTGCCTGATTGACGAAGGCGAGCAGCTTTTCTGTGGGCTCAGCTTGCCATGTTTGCATGAGGCCAAGCGGACTGGAAGGTTCTGGTGGTCAATGTTGATTCGCTTTGCGCTTATTTTCGACATAGGAACCTTGCCGGGCTCCCTGCCGACTGAGGAAGTCAGCGCTGGCCGATGCGCACTCCATCGAGGATGTGGAGCGCATTTCGCCCGGGCCAACAGTTCGAGGCATTTTTGAAGGAAAAGGGGGACACAGGGACTATGCTGATGCGATCTGGACAACTTGGCAAGTGCCAAAATTGCGGCTAAGGCCTGGACGCGTTCAGACAGTTTGGTCGTGGATGGAAGAGTGGATGCCTTACCACTCTCCGCATTCTTCATCCTCTCTGGCGAATGGGGCTGAGGCTTAAAAGCGCCGGCAAAGCCAAGCTGCACCGCGAGATCCACGACGCTCAATGCCGCAACCTGAGCCACAATCCAAACCCGGGTAGATGAAGGTTAGTAAGGGACAATCCCCTTGCCATAAATAGCTGCGGATTCCGGCTTCTTAATTCTTTACCTGGTTCTGGGTCGACCATTTTTTGTGCCGGATTTGATTAATTGGGATCCTTGGCAAGGCAAGCAAAAGTCTTTACTATTTGAAGGAGAATCGGTCGACCATGTTAGTACCGGGTTTTGATTATGCCGCAGCCTGAAGACCCCAGCCGCTTGTGCGACGCAGACCGCGGAAACCAGGCGCCTTGCAGCTGATCGCGGAGGCAGCGGCGCCAAGCTTGCCCGCCGACTTGGTGGCCATTTGGCTGTGGTTGTCAAAACCAATGAAATCGCATTTTGGGGTACCTATTTTAGTGGTTGGATTGGGATGTTCACTGGGGGTACGATTTGGATTTTGACCCATGGCCATGTCGACCCCCACTCGACCTGAACCCAAAAAGTGTTGTAGTCCCATGCCTGGAGCACATTATATTTTAGTGGTTGGATTGGGATGTTCACTGGGGGTACGATTTGGATTTTGACCCATGGCCATGTCGACCCCCACTCGACCTGAACCCAAAAAGTGTTGTAGTCCCATGCCTGGAGCACATTAGACAGCTGCGAGAGATGGTTCCAGAAGCTGTCAGGACCATTCCTCCTGGAAGGACTTGGTGGACTCTGCTGGACCTGATGGCACTGCGCGCCAGACTCCCGGAACCAACAGGCCTGCGAAGGGCAGGTTTGCAACGACCCATTTTTGTGGAATTCATGATTGTGTTTGCACCACACTTCATGGACAGGGATTTCCGTGGACACTTGCCTGGTGCCAAGGTGGCCACTGGATTTGTGCACCTCACGAGACGGCCAAAGCGCAGGCCCAGTTCTCATGAGATAGCACTGCGCATCTGCCTCAATCCCCTCACCGTCACAAGGCTGTGGCTCAAAAAACCGGGACCCCAAATGGAACCCTGGTGACATGGACCAAAACCTGCGGTCCGCTTCCTGGTGGTTTAATTTTGAGCCACACCCACAAAGGTCCTGAAGCTTGGCTGGGCGCCTCCGTGCGTCGCCAGTGCCTCAGTGCCTCAGCCGGCGGATGGCGGGTCGTGGGAGTGGCCGAGTTGGGGACCTCAGGTCCCCGGGCAGCAAGTCCGTTCTCCTTGCATGCTGGCCGGAGCGGCACGGGCGCGCCCGGTGAGGGGGGAGAGATGTGGGGGTTGATCACAAGGTCCTTTACATAGGCTGACCCTTGGGGGAAATCACAAAAAAGATGACATTTCCCACTAAATGGGAAAACTACTCGTGCTCATTTGGGGGCCCTCAATGGAATATTGATCGACCTCCATGTGCCTGCAGAATATTCAGGGAAGGTCAAAGTGGCAACTTGCACTGGGCCAATGACAGTTGTGGTTGCACTTTGTTCCTTTCTTTGGACAGGTGTCCGTGCTGGCCCGTGCAGCCAGAGCTGTCCAGCTAGCCCGGACGCAGTGAGCGTCAGAATTACAGGGTTCAAGCAGTTATATAGACAAGTTCCAGGTGGGTCATTGAGAGGACTCACAAAATGACAGCTGTGCATATTTGCTGCTGAAGCCGAAGTATTTCAGCAGCAGTGCAGAGAAGTCTCCAACAAGTCTCTTCTAACACCGGCAGATCTTTCAACGCAGTCAGATATGATATTGAGTCTTGATTTGGAGCACATCTTTGCTACAGCATTCAATTCCTGCATTGGCTGTCTTGGGCCGGCAAAGTGGATGTCGACATTTTGGAGCAGCCCCAATTTCTTGTCCGAAGACAGATCGAGGAACATAGAGAACGCCCAACTTGGGCAGGCTTTTGTGCCCTTTGCTGCCCTTTGCCGACTTGAGCTTGTGGACCAGTGAGATGCAAATTCGCGGGCCAGAATTTCAATGATGTTCTGGCCCATGTTTGTCCTACCGACAGTAGGCGATTGCAAGCTGAACGTCCCTCAAGTCAGGATCGACGGCGAGTCCGGTTCGGTAGCCGATCTGTCAATTTTGTTTGTTGGCTGCTTCGGATGGCATGAGAACATGATTTGTTTCCTGTGACATGTGGCATCGTGCTTGGGCATATGAGGCAGCTAGCTGGCCTTTTTTCCACGCTTTTGCTGCCACGGCATCGCTTCGGCGAGTTGCCTTGTGGACTCACCAGGGGCATATGGTAGGACCATGACTCTTGGTTGCACTTGGGACGAGGGCGAACGCTACACGGGATGCTTTCATCAACAACCGGTGTGCGATGCCAAACTGCAGCCTTTTTGTCAGTTGATGTTCGCCTTTGGCAATCACTGAGGATGTCCCTCATGTCGCCTGAGACGGACACTACCGCCCTTTAGAATGCATTGACCTGATCGATTTTCCATGCACGCGCAGGCAGGAATTACATTACAACGGTGAGCAAGTTACACATAGCCAGATGACGTGCGTAGTGGCCGTTCGATGTTTGCAAGCTTGTCCTTTCGACACTTCAAATTAAGCATCCTGCCTGAGTCTCAGCCTGTGGTGACAGGGGTGATGTCGTGCTCCACATAGCTTTTGTTTGCAGGTCACCACGGTTGAACGTTCCCCCGAGTATTCAGAAGGCAGCTTCCCACCTGCGAGGTGTCCGAGACGTCCGAGACTTGAACCCTTAAATGGTGAAAAGAGCTCCATCTCTCAGCGGGCGCGTCACAAAGATGGGAACCTTTGTGCGCAGTTTGCCTCAAGCTTCGTTCGAGCAGCGCAGCTGAGCTGCCGACCCCGGCGGGATTCTCACCTCTCTGCCAGTCACGTCGGTGATGCTGGGGCCTTTCCTGTCTGCTCGATCGTGGGCACCGCTCAACGAGATGTTGGGAACACTTGCAAAGATTTGGAGGACGCTTGGCTTGTGGTTGAACTGCCGGCCAGTGAGCCAATGCAAAAGGCAGAAGCTCTGCAAGCTGCCCCCGGTGAAAGCATCAGATGCCAGAAGTTACCAGCTTCAACCTGCAAAACACTCGGCAATGTGCCTCCCATTCGACTCGGAAGGGCATTTTGTACTGAGGGGACTTCTCGCCTGTTGGTGCGAATCGCGAGAAATCAAGGCACCACTTCGCCTCGATTCACGAAAAAGAGAGCGCGAGTTGGGTGCAGATCATGATTCCAGGCCGCAAAGGTGTGAAAGCTTTGCCAATTTGAGCCCGACTCCCCGCTGGGCCGTTGCACGGGCCCCATTTTTTCCGGCAGGCGGAGGACATGGGCGCGGGGCCAAGCAATAGCTCTGCAAAAAGTTTCGGTGGGCACCCAGATAGACCCAAGGATGCAATTGACTTTTTTGGAAGGGGCCGTGAAACATACCATGCTCATGTTAGGCCCAGATCTTGTGAATCCGCGGGCCTCCCAGCATAGGCGCCTCCCGCTGCATCCCAGCTCAATAGCCGAAGCGCTCATATCGACAGGGAGGCTCCAAGAGGCCCAGAATGGTTGCATGCTTCCTGGAAGCTGCGCCGGTTCCCAGCCGTCCTCGGAGTTGAGGTGTTTCGGCTTTAGTGGTTTCCATCTAACACCAACTTTCAGGGTTTAGCGGTAGTTTCCATTTGACCAAAATAAAGTTGAGAAAACTCTTAGCAGTGGATCTGCAAACGGACCGCCCAAGAAGAGACATCTGCTTCAGATGGATGTTGGTCGGCTTTCTATCCTTTGGCGCATGTTGCTTGGATGTTAGGACTTTAACTTTTTGCCAACTCATGGGTTTTCCATAAACCACTAAAAGTTAAACTAACCGAGTATCGTTTTTTCGTCGCCAGAAGTGCCGCTTGCAAAGCCTAGGGAGGCGCTTCAAGTTGTTTGTGGGCGGCATCTCCTCACAGACCACCACAGAGGCAGGGGTGCGAGCACGCAGGGGATGAAGCTTGCATTTTATTGTTATTATGATTATTACTATTATTACTATAATAATTATTGTTATTGTCATTATTGCTATCAACAATAATCAACATGGGGGATGACCAGACAAGTACTTGCTGGTATGCCGAAGTATCTCATTCTTGGTGCAAATAATTGGAGTCGCTGGTGCAAGGTGCTGTACCGCCATTTCTCGAAGTATGGAAATCTGACTGACGCGGCATCAGCCCTGGTGCCGTCGAGCCACTGCTTTTTTCACGCCAAAGAACGATCTACAACTCATTTTGCTTGTCGCTATTGGGAGAGTTCAGGTCGTGATGTCGCGAGACGGGCGATCCAGAGGCAAGCTTGGATTGCACACACGGCTGAGCCGAGTCTTGTTGCCATGCTGCGTCCGTTGGGCCTGGGTTCGTAGCCGTCGGCAGAGTTTCAAGCGTTGTGCAAAGTTCGGGGGAACTTGCTCTGCAGGTAAATGCAGGTGGATCAAACCACTTTGCTAGCTAGCCACGCTATAGTATGGCTGAATTTTAATAGGGAACCCCCTCCAAAGTGGTGGACATGGATCCCCACCTAGATGATGTCCACCAAAGGGTCCCTAATCAAAATCAGACCCATATTCATTCCCAAATAAAAGCGCAGGCTTCGGGTTCGTCACCTTCGACTCAGAAGTAGCGGCAGTCTTCTGCTTAAACTGACTTTGCCTCTGAACTTGTTTGCCTTCATCGGCAGTTCATGTGTTGCATAGCGAAGCGAACTGAGGCACATGCCCTGGCAGAGCCGCAATGGCTTGATGGGCGCCTTGTTGATGCCTGCAGCCCAAGTGTCTTTCAGAATCACACGTGCGAGCAGTGCTCACATTGGTTATCTTCTTGCGTGATGCGCATATACGCGCCATCCACCATGATCACTGCAGGTGAAGCAGGCAGTCCCTGGCGATCGCCCGCAGGAGCATGGGCCTGCCAGCATTTCACAATGTGCGCAAGGCTGTTCATGCACCTTGCCAGCTGTTTCCTTGCAGCCTCAGAGAGGAGCGGACCTCCAACAAGATCTTCATTGGCGGTTTGCCGCAGGAGACTCCATCAACCCGGCGGTTGAGGCTGATTTTGAATCCCAGAAAGTTGCCGGAGCGGCAACTCAAGAATCACTGACAGTGGTGCGTACAGCTGCAACCAACAGCAATAGTTTTGTTTGGGTTTTTGAAAGTCGCTGGGTTTGCCTTCCTTTGTGGGTCATTTGTGCTTGCTCTTGCGAGCCGCCGGGGCATTGTATTCTGAAACAACAGCTCGTCAATCATAGTCTCAACTGGGATTTCAAACAACAACTGTGCATGACGATGCGGGTGTTGAAGATTTGGGATACTGGTTCACACGAATCACTTGGCTTGCTCAAGGGGAAAGCACTCAAGGAAACAAGTTCACTTCATGGACGAGTCTTTTCCACACTTGCGCACCTATGTGCATGATGTTTGATTAGTGTCAAGCCAAGCGGTTCGGGCAAACGAGTAGCCCAACACTTCAACGCTTATGCCGCATGACGTGTCGGCCATCTGGCCAACTGGAGGGTTGCTTTGAGTCTTCCCAAACAATAGAGACGGGCCGCTCTTGCAATTCCATGTTTTTGGATGTATTCCTTTGAAGCTGGCTTCGGTCCTCGATTGTTGCCCTCCTGTCCATAAACATGGAACCTGACTGAGGGGTCCTGGAAGATGATTCTCCTGTAAAAGGGACCCTTGGGTGGGCTCCATGTTGATGGACAGGAGGGTACTCTTTTTTGCCCATCAAAGGATTCGAGAGAGGCTCAAACGAATGTGTGCTTTAGCTAGGATGTGACGACAGACAATCTCAGATCCTACTTCTCAGCCTATGGGCTGGTAGCTGATGCAGCTGCTTGGACCTGATGGGGCGTTTGCCACAAAATCGCGCACTGAGTTTTGGCTCCGCTACTCATGTTGATATAGGAGGGAGAGAAAGAGAGAGAGAGAGAGAGCGCGAACGACAAAGAGAGGGAGAGGGAGAGGGAGAGAGAGAGAGAGAGAGAGAAAGAGACAGGGAAAGAGAGCTAACGATTTAGAGAAAGATAAAGAGAAAGAGAAAGAACAGGAGAAAAAGAAGAGAGAACGAGATGCACATGAGTACGATTTCTCAGGCACGCTTTGTTTCTTTTGAAACACGATTAGCGTCAGGCACCTGAGGCCCATCAAAGTCACGCTGTCTCCTCCAACACCTGTCCACCGTTTCACATTTGCAGCTCCCTACACACTTGAACAGGGTTTCCTCTATTTCCCTTTTTGGACCTTCCCAACAAATTGCCGTTTGAATGGAAACCACCAGTACTGAGTTGCCATAGCCGACCTTTCAAGCTTTTCATTTCCCTGAATTGGTTCTTTGTTTCGCAATGGCATCAAAAGGTCAACCTTTGATTTCTGGGTCCTTCGGACAACTGAGAGTGAATTGATCAACCCGCTGACCCCCGGTTCTGCTTTTTGACTACCCCAAGATAGACTTAACCCAGGGGTCCTCCTTTTGAAAATGAACCACTATCCCCTACTCCAAAAACCCTCTTTTTTCAGGGTATCATGTTGACCCACTACCAAAAAAGGAGTTACCCTGGAAAACCGGGTTTTACCAAACATATTTGGAGTAAGGGCTAGACTGAAATGTTTTTTCAGTCTAGCCAAAAAGCGGAGGCCCGGTGACCCCGACCCGTCGACCGACCGACCGCCGAGGTCGTGATGGTGGACCGCCGCACCCGGCGCTCCCGGGGCTTCGGCTTCGTGCGCTTCGCCAACGGGCGCCAGGGCGCGGCCGCGGCAGAGGCGGATGGAGAGCGACCCGTCAGCCGAAGGATTTTTTGGCAAAGCGGAGGGGACGGCGAGGCGATGGGTTTTGTTATAGAAAAAGCAGCCGCCTTGGGTTGGGTTCTTGTATATATATATATATATGTATATAAGAGCAAAAACAAAACACTATGGTGCCAATGTATCAGTTTTTTCCCCATTTTTTCAAAATCTTTTTTTCCCCCAACTATTTCCGGAGTTATTGCTTTTCATGTATATGTGATCCAGTGGGAATGGAGATCTTCTTTGTGATTGCATGAATCCCATACTTTGCTGTCTCAGCTGCTGTTCACAGTATACTTGGCACGCTGGGTCGCATGCCATCTTGCAGGCGGTGCTACGAGACTTCCAGCACCACTGGTTTGACGGTCGCTCCCCAAGATCCTGAAGTCAAGTGCCTCCGGTGCCTCCGGGCCTGGGATCGGTGTGCAGTTCAGCGTGACCGGCAGCCATTTGTCACATTCGTGCAACCAGGCAGCACTGGCAAGCTTCTCAGGCCCATTTGGGTACTGATGGGTCACACAAGGTTGACCAAGCTCGGAAGAAGTGGTCGATGAGTCGCATCTCGCTTCTTTCGCCATCATGGCTACCCCAAGATGTGCCTTGCACCTTACCCTACATGGCAATGGCTCAAAAACACGTACCAAAATGGCACCTTGGCAAATGGGATCAAAGACTCAAACCTGCGTAACCCTGGCTCTTTTTTTTTGAGCCACACCCACATGTTGGAGCGGAGCAATCATCGGATCCTCACCTCGGTAGTTCGGGGGACGGAGACACCGACTCAACGGATCCGAGCCAATGGCATGGAGCTTCTGCTGCAAGTCTGCCGCTCCCACTGCAGGCACCTGACTCGATTTCGATGCCACGGGAATGCAGCGGTGAAACATGGACCAAAACTTGTGGTCCCCTGGTGGTTTAATTTTGACCCATACCCAATTTGTGGCCGAAAGGTTGCAACATAAAGCTAGGAGTCGACACGCGGCCCTAACACCGCAGAACTTGATGTCCAAGCTCTTGATTTGGGTTCGAGGCAGTCGTTCCGCCTATTGGGTCCGTTGTCACCACTGCTCGTGCCTGCTGTATCGTTGTGTCTCTTGTCGCCTGGAAGTTGCATGTTGATCGGCGGTGGCAAGCGGCATGAGGACCGGCTCTCATTTGGATTTGTTGCAGGTCGGCGCCGGACGAAGATGAGACGGAGGTGCAAGCCAAAGAGTTGGATACGAAGCATCTTGGAGCGCCAGGATTTCCCGGGCGTTGTCGCCGATGCATCAACTCAAGAGGCGCGTTGCCTGAGTCTTCACGGTGCCAGCCAGAATCAAAACCCGGGCAGAGGAAGGTTAGTAAGGGACGCGCTCAAGCATAAACAGGCGCGCCTTGGTAACGCTTTGTATGGTTCTGGGTTCACCATTTTTGTACCAGGTTTTGATTCTGACTCACTTGAGCTTCAGGAGATCTTTCCCAAGGAGAAGCTCAAGGCCGGAGCCGAGGAGCCTCGATGTGTTTGCGCTTCTTGGGGGCTTCTATAGTCTATGCTCCACCCAAAACCCCAAATACCATACAATTGGTGTTGAATATTTATGCGATTTACTACCACCAAGCCCAAGATAGCGACCTGTTGCAAGGAGCGTGCTGAGCCAGTTGGTGCCCTGTGCATCCGCCATGTGTTTGTGCTTGCTGCCTTCTGCCATGTTTTGACGAGAGGCCCTTTGGCATGGCAGAGGAGGTGCGCATTTGCCCCATCAGCGGCTTGTCAACCCTGCAGGCCTGTCATGGCAGTTGCGTGACACTTTGAGTTGTTTTGCCTTTTGTAGGGCGCATGCCCCTTCGCCAAGCCCAAAGCCAAGGCCGGAGTTCGCTTCACGAATCGTCTCATATCGGATCCTGAGAGGCCAAAGACGGGGGCAAGAAGCAGAAGGCCATTCTTCTTCTTCAGCAGCGGCCGGTTGCCGGTGATGAATTGGCACAAACCCAGTGGTGCATTCCCCCCAAAAGGAGAACACCTAGGTTTTAGTCCATCCTGCAGTCAAAAGTGGAACCTGGTATTCTCAAAGCGACCCTCAGAATCGGCGGTTTTTCTTGTGCTCCCCATTGAAACCAGCCCGAAAAGGGTACCCAAAACTGTGAGGCCAGTGTGAAGTTGGACTTTCAGTGGGAGCAGGACGAGTGGCTTGGAGGGCCAAAGGTTCAGTCTGGCTCAGCCTTTCAGGACCAGAGCAGGGTGAGCGTCAGCGTTTGTCGGTGGCCTCAGACTTCCAAATGGCTGTGGCTCAAGAACATGTAAACCCAACATGGCACCTTAAATGGAGCCCAAAACTAAACACCCGCTGTTTGCCCTAGCTCTTGAATTTGGACCGCCAGCCAAATACACCCCACATCTTGTCTAGCCGATGCCAAGCCGCCTGTTCGAGGTGCACACCCCACCGATGCCTTCGCTGCTTTGGAACTGTCAGACGCTGCTTCGCAGGAGGAGAGGTTGAAAGACGCAGCGCGCTGTATCGCGATACTTGAACAGGTCAGGATCAAGGCAGCACTGAACGACACTTTCAGTGGCCTTTTTCTTTTTTGTTCTTTTTCTCGGCAAGAAGAGTAATTAGGAGATCAAGAGGCAGTACAAGCTGCTCTCGCTGCGGCATCACCCTGTCGATGCCTCAATTTTGGGCGTACAGCATCACATGCCGCGGATGCAAGCTTGGATTTTGTCTTTGATGACTTCTATCCATGCCATGCATTTTGCAAGTGCAATTCAATCGTTGTCTAGCTGTCACATGATCTTTGATGCAACTAGGACAAAAACCAAGACGACGTGGACGCAGCAACAGATCGCTTTCAGAGGCTGTGGCACATGACTTGTACCCATCCGCGTCTCATCGACCATTCAGGATCAAAGACGCATATCAGGCAGTCAAAGCGCGCCACTCGGAGCTTTGTGCCTGCTGATTGTGTGAAGACCAGCTCACTGAGGACACTGACGGGGAGCTGGCGTTTCCCTGGGACCAGCATCCCGACAAGCAGCTAGTCACGGCCTTGTGCGGAGGCAGATCAACTGCCAATTTCAATTGGGTGTGGGTCAAATTAAACCAGCACAAAAACCGCAGGTTGTAGTCCAAGTTTCCATTAACCAGGGTTTCATTTTGGGTACCTATTTTTGACCCACCGCCAATTCATGCTTCAGGCAGAAACCTATTTTTTTTTTTCGGCACCTTCTTGTCCCGGAAGTTTCATGCACAACCTCATGCAGAAACGACCAAGTCCCGCCCAGGGGAGGGCTCGCGACACTGGCTACGAAGGTCGGCATGTTGAGAGTTTGAGGTGATGAAGGGAGAGGAGGCGATCGTGATGTTTGCGGAGGCGCGTGAACACAGATACATCTCTGGTGAGCGTTTGTTGCTCCACTCGAGGTGGGCATGGAAGCCTGCGAGGAACATCAGTTTCAGGCCCGCCCAACTTTGGATTTGCAGTGCCCTCACTGTCAATTGCGAGCAAAAAACAACTGGCTTTGCCGATGAAAACCTTACTATTTCATGCCTGGTAGAATGGTGTTTATAGCGGTTATCAACTCTTCAGAACGGGCTCATGACGTATCAAGGGAGCCATGGTCATCACCAACAACTCAGATTTGGATACTCAAAACGATCCCAGCAAGTCTCAACGCTTGGCAAAGAAAGACGATGGGCATAAGGGGAGTGCTGTTTCTGTGTAGTAAGTGTAGACTGCGATTTTCGCGATATGAGTTGGCTTGAACTGCGCGCAGGGGCTGCAATTGCGGCACCTGGTCAAGACTTCAATAGAGGTCAAGGCCAGCAGTGGAGAGAGTGATTTGGTTGTCAGCTTGTTTGCTTCTGCTTATGCTACTTGACAGGTCTTGAGATTTGACAAGGAGGGACAAGATGGGCACATCACCGAGTGCTGGTTGCAAGCTTTATGTGCTGGGCTTGGCCTTCGATACACTCGTGACATTCTTGAGAGAGAGCGAGAGGGAGCAGCGGAGACCAGGTGCAGGCTCTCCTCACTTTGTGAACCACCTTGTCAAGGCGCGGAGGCATGTGCCGCAAGTGGTAGGCCAACTTAGGGGACTGGCATCCAACTTAAGACCGGAGACTAGCAATGGAGGATGTTCGGAGAAGGCGCAAGCAATGAGTTGGAAAGTGAGGTCTATCGACGCGCTGGAGGCTCAAAACAAATGCAATCGTGAGCCTGGCGGGTGCTCATGTGTGAGTTTGGTGTTTTGCTTCCGAGGATGCATGGGAGTATGAAGAGGCCAAGTAGGCAAGCACTCCAGCATCGCATGCTGTTTTTGTACATAGCAATGGGGCCCCCTCAAGCGATCATGGACGTGCTCTGTGCACGTGCTCTGTGCACGTGACGTGCGCTGCATGTTTCGGCATGCCGGCTTGGGGGATCCTGCAATGTTTCACACGGATTTTCAGTTCAAAGCGAGCCAAAGCCAGACGCCAGCATCCGGGACCGGTGTTTGAGTTGGTGTGCAGCCCTTCTCTTTGAAACTTCAGGAAAGTGGGTGGAGGTGAAGCCTGCGACGCCCGCAGCAACCCTCGAGGCACGGCTCGCCGCGCGCCGCTCGCCGCTCGTCGCTCGTCGCGCGTCGAGCTTCAGCGAGGAGATGGCCGCCGGTGATGCTGCGGTCGGCAGCTTGGGCTGACCTTGCAGATTGGCAACGAAGGGAAACGCGGGGGTCAGGGCCCCTCCTTGATGAGATGGTTTTTCCGTTTTCATATTCGGGCCCTCGATTTCGAGGAGGCATTTTGGGCAGGAGTTGTGGGTGACGGATTGAAAGCTTGCACACAGGACACTGCTACCGGGCCGTGCCAGCACAATCCACCATCGCCTGGTGCTTACAGCCTCCGTTGTGCAATTTTTTGCGGCGCTGGTTTGCGCACATGAAAGCCAGCACTGAAGCAACCCGAGTCAACAAAATGAGGTGGGACGTCTATGAACCATCCAGGCTAGCCGGGCAGCTGGTTACATGGTGGGCATAGGCAAAAGAGTCAACCATTGTAGACAGGTGCACCTTAGCCTCGAAAAACGACTGCGGCTTGTGGATTGTGCTCGGCCCCGGCTAAGGGGCATATCAAAGCACAAATCACCAAACCATCCAAACCACTTGGAAGGAAACTGCACCCAAGCAACCCCATCACCCCATCACCCCATCACCTCATCGCCACCAATCCAAACCAAACAAAAGTGGTCGGAAGGTTCGGCGCATGTCAGGTCCTGCGTCAAGATGGCGAACTTCGGGTGCCGAGGCCGAGGAACTCGGAGCCACGTCTGACATGGAGGTTGGACGTTTGGGTCCAAGCCATTGGACCAGTTTTCGTTTGGATGGACGCGTTGTTTCCCTTCAAAGTGAAGAAGTTCTCCTTGAAAAAGGGCCATTTTCCTGTTGAGATGGGCATTTTTCCTTTAACATCGACCATTTTGCCTTAAGATGGACATGTCTGCTGAGTTCCATGGGAGGATGAGAGGTTCTTCTCGCCTTCCTGCAGGTCCGTTGGCCCCATGCAGTGCTGCGCAGAGATGGCAGCAATGGCTCATGCTGGGGGCCCTCAGAATCTTCGCAAGCGGCACTTGGTTTGGGCGGTTTGGGGTGGTTGGGGCGGTTGGGGTGGTTTGGGCGGTTTGGGGTGGTTGGGGCGGTTGGGGTGGTTTGGGCGGTTTGGGGTGGTTGGGGCGGTTGGGGTGGTTTGGTTTGGGTGGTTGGGGCGTTGGGCGGTTTGGTGGTTGGGGTTGGGGTGGTTTGGGCGGTTTGGGGTGGTTGGGCGGTTGGGGTGGTTTGGGCGTTTGGGGTGGTTGGGGCGCGGGGTGGTTTGGGCGGTTTGGGGTGGTTGGGGCGGGGTGGTTTGGGGTTTGGGGTGGTTGGGCGGTTTGGGGTGGTTGGGGCGGTTGGGGTGGTTTGGGCGGTTTGGGGTGGTTGGGGCGGTTTGGGGTTGGTTGGGTGCGGTTTGGGGTGGTTGGGGCGGGGTTTTGGGCGGTTTGGGGTGGGTTGGGGCGGGTGGTTGGGGCGGTGGGGTTGGGCGGTTTGGGGTGGTTGGGGCGGTTGGGGTGGTTTGGGCGGTTTGGGGTGGTTGGGGCGGTTGGGGTGGTTTGGGCGGTTTGGGGTGGTTGGGGCGGTTGGGGTGGTTTGGGCGGTTTGGGGTGGTTGGGGCGGTTGGGGTGGTTTGGGCGGTTTGGGGTGGTTGGGGCGGTTGGGGTGGTTTGGGCGGTTTGGGGTGGTTGGGGCGGTTGGGGTGGTTGGGGCGGTTTGGGGTGGTTGGGGCGGTTGGGGTGGTTGGGGCGGTTTGGGGTGGTTGGGGCGGTTGGGGTGGTTGGGGCGGTTGGGGCGGTTGGGGCGGTTGGGGCGGCTTGGTGTGGTTGGTGTGGTTGGTGTGGTTGGTGTGGTTGGTGTGGTTGGTGTGGTTGGTGTGGTTGGTGTGGTTGGTGTGGTTGGTGTGGTTGGTGTGGTTGGGGTGGTTGGGGTGGTTGGGGTGGTTGGGGTGGTTGGTGTGGTTGGGGTGGTTGGGGTGGTTGGGGTGGTTGGGGTGGTTGGGGTGGTTGGGGTGGCTTGGGTGCTTGAATTGGATGCGGCCAAGGCCGCCGCCACTGCCGACTCTGCTCGTTGGAATCTGAGTTGTGAGCATGGTCAGTATCACAGCAACTGATGGCAGTAGCAACGCAGAAGCCTCAAGTTTCTGATGGTGCGGCACAGCTTGCCGTTGTTCAGCTCGGCAAATCCGAGACCGGAGCCCCCAGTGCAGCTTCTGGCGCAGTCCTCACCAGCGCTGCCGCTGCCGCTGCGAGTGCGGCAAGCGCGGCTAGCCAGATTCTCGGCCAGGGTTCCACTTTTTGACAGGGCAGACTTAAACCCAGGGGTGGGTCGTTACCCCAAATGGGGAACCCCTGGGTTTAAGTCTATCTTGGGGTAGTCAAAAAGTGGGGGTGAGTTGCTCGTTGAGATGGCTCTTTGTGGACACTGTGTGTTGAGCGCATGATTTGCCTTTGTCCAGGCAGGGGGTGAACAGATTCTAGTTGAGTCACCAGTCTAAGTGACTTCAGGAGCCGCGATGTGTCCTCCAGTGGAGCCCCGAGTCATGCTGCCACGGGTGAATCCAGCGACTTAAGTCATTCCAGCAGCTCGTAGCACATTAAAACTCTGAGCTTGAAGCTTGTCTGTAAGTTGACGGAATCTGTCCGTCACCAGCATGTTTGTGTTGTCCGAGGTTCAAGGCAACTGGCCACTCGTTCAAGGCACACTTTGTTGGCATTGCGTTTTGTCTTCTGCACGTCGTATTACTGCTCATTTCTAGCTTTTGCCATGCATCAACTTGTTTCCACGGACAGTTTGGTGCGAGTGGGGCTGTTCGTTGCAGGTCTTGCAAGACCTCCTCAGGGTGACCCTTATGCAACCCGCTCGGAGCTCAGCTTGGGCTGGAGGTGTGAGTTCTGCAGCGGGCCCCGTGCTGAGGCCACATGCCATCTCCCATGAAGGCGCAGAGACGAGAGGACTGCTAATGTTAACCCCGGATGAATCAACCCCTGTTTGCTCATATGGGGGTGTCCCTGGTTTTAGTGGGGGATGTATCACTTTTGGAGGGGAACCCCCCCAGATTAATAAACAGTTTTTTTTTCATCCGGGGTCAACATTATCGGTGAAGACCGTGGGCTCACCGGCCAGCCGCTTTGCAGGTCACATGCACTGGCAGCGGCTACTATCCAAGCCTCGCCGAGGAAGCTCCTAGCCTTCAGGAGACTGGGATGTGGGTATGGGTCAAAAAATAGTCCCTGGCTTTATTTGTTCGGGCTCCATTTGGGGTACATATTTTTGACCCACAGCCAGGTAGGGTCTTGGTGAGATTTTGGAGCTGGTGAAATCAAAGCTGTCAGAAGCCCTTTCCGAGGGGCTGCTTGAGCCTGGCTTGACACGTCGCATGCAGGCGCGACTCCTTGCGCGGAACGAGGGTATGGAGGCGCATATCCCAGGGATGGAATGACTAGACTCGAAGCTTTGCCCAGGTCTGACACTGGCTTTCAGACTCCCTAAGGGAAGCCCGAGCCATGACTTCCATCGCCGCAGCCTGCGCCCCAGCGCGGTCAGCTGTCCGACATGATTTGGTTTCATGCCCGAGGCCAGATGCAGTTTGCCAATGCTCATTTCAATGCTGTACACACCATAGCGTAGCGGCCTCTGTACGCCTTCGACCATTGTGGATTGGATCACAGATAGATACCGATCGAAGGTGGACCCCTTTTGGGCCGCAAGCTTCTGTCTGACCCCAGTTGTCGCTTGTTACGCACTCAGGGGTGAGGGAGGACAGATGGCTGGGTCCAAAACCACCGTTCCTCCTCAGTCCATGCCAGACACAGAAGGCTTGAGCCTATGACATTTCAGAGATGACCATTGGACTGTCTCAAACTTTCAGACATCCTAAGAGGGTCCCAAGTGCCGCCTGGTTGATAGCTGCTGCCAGTGCTCCAAACAGGGGCGTGCCCACCTCGGTGCACCGGCAGCTTGCATAGCTCGGAAGATGGAGGAAGCCTCAAGGCGGAATAGAGGACCATGAGGAGCGACTCACGAATCAGGGTGTCTGGGGCTTCCTCCATCCGCTCGACAATTCGTTGAATTCCCCTTCAAAGTTGGTCCGGGGTCGAAATACTGGTTGGAAGGAGCTGTAAATGGTATGAGTCATAAGCTAGCTTCACACCTGGATGGAGGCTAGAGGTGTGAAGGGTCATGAGGCCGGAAGAAAGGTACCTCACAACCAACCAACCGGCACGTGCACTAGACTCGTTCCTTGGATTTTCCAAGTGCGGACCAGTAATTATGTGCAACCCTATGTGGGCGCTGAAATTAGCAATTGGCTGTCCTATCTATCACGAGCGACAGGCGCTCCGCAACTATGCGCAAGTGTGCTGCAGTGTTGTCCTCTTTCGCGCGTTGTTGTTTGATGAGGGGCTTTGTTTGCCTACCAAGTGCGCCATCTACCTGCTTTCGGATGTATAGCATAGGCTGCAAGCGGATTGCACTGCGTTGCAACAGATATTTCGCCGAAGTTCCAGGAGGGCCAATTGGCCAATTGTTGGACATGCAAGTATGGTTCTTGTGATCTTTGCGACTTATGTGCGCCAGAGGGCAGTTCAGAGTGGACGGCCTTTGTCATGCCAATGTATAAAATGCTTGTGCGCGTTCGAGAACACGACCGATTTTGCTTTGGCTGGCCAGTGCTGAGAGTTGTTTCGTGCTTTTCATGACCCGCAGCATGTCAAATCAAGTTCCATATGCAGTTTCATACCTCATAGATTGATTGAATTCGCAGAAGCATACCCTCATATCTCTCCTTGAGTCAAGCCGGGCCGCTCGTTGTGAGCACGCCATCCGTTTTCTTCAGATAGCCAGTCCTTGGCTTTCACCAGGATGCCACGGGGGAGGTGACTCACCGCGCTTTGGCGACGGGTTGCAGCGATGGCTACACTTTGAGCTTTAGCCAGGCGATCGTTGAGGGTGATCCAAGAAGGGATGGCGAGCTGTGAATCTTATGACTTCCTTTTGGTTCTCAAAAAGGACCAATCGGAGCACACCGGAGCATACGGAGTTCGCTTTTCTCTGAGTGATTCTCATGGCAAGGCCTGGGACGTGGCCATGGGGCCTGCACCTGAAGTTTGCCGCTTCCAGCAACTCGGAGCCTGCCCAAAAACTCGACGGCTTGTGGTCAGGTGGCAAAATCTGAGCACCTCCTTGCGGCTTTGGGATGCTCGGCAAATGACGTATTTTTTGAGCTGAAGCGCCATTGAACACATGCATGTGCACGCATATTATGTGTACACGTACAGTTTTGCAACCCCCCGTACTCACCTTTTGGTCTACTTACAATGCAGCAAAAGGTGACTACCTAGCCATATCATTCTTCTGTTTGACAAAGTCATGGCAAGGGGGCTTTTTTTCTGGCAAGTCTGCAGGGGTACATTGATTCATTTGTAGCGGGGGTCAGTTGTGCTAGCACATCCTGTCTTTTCAAGATTGGATCTGAGTGCAGCAATGCTCTCAAGGTATTCACATCAAGCCATGGTGGCAACATTGCCAACACGTTCCCTGTGACACAAAAATGCAGAGTTTCAGCTCTCGCAGCTGACACTGGCACATGGCCATGGGTCAAAAGCCCGTCCCCCCAGTGACAATCCCAATCCCCACAAACATAGACTAAAGTGGAGCCTAAAATGGGTGATGCACCTGCACCAAATGGTACCATTGGTTTTGACCCATAGCCACTTTTGGCCATGGCGGATGCCCATGTTTGCACAAGTGGCTTTGAAGTACTTTAGACCTGGGGAGCAAGAGCCGAATCTTGGCCCAACGTTCCCAACCCGGCAGCCTGAATTCGCTCAACAACGCGCTGAACGGTACTGGGCCAAATCAAGCATCTTTTGCTACTATGAATGATAGTTGTGAGCAGCTCACGTCAATCCCCTTTTCTCTCTCGCTCTCTTTCCTGCTCCTTTTCTCTTTCCAGATTTTCCAACAGTTCTCTTTCTCTTTATTCTTTTTCGCTTTTTCTCCCTGTTTGTACCTTCTTTCCCCTTGTATTTTTCCCTTTGCCTTTCTCTTTCCTTTTTCTCATTATCTTCCTTTTTTTCTTTCTCTTCTCCTCTGCTTTAGTTTACTCTTTCTCTTTGTTTTGTGCTTGCTATTTATTTATTTTTCTCCCTATTTGTGTTCTTCTTCTTCTTCTTCTTTCTCTTTCTCTCTTTCTCTCTTTCTCTCTTTCTCTCTTTCTCTCTTTCTCTCTTTCTCTTTCTCTCTTTCTCTTTCTCTTTCTGAGTTTCTTTCTCTTTCTCTTTCTCTTTCTCTCTTTCTCTCTTTCTCTCTCTCTCTCTCTCGCTCTCCCTCCGCCCATGAAGTCAAACAACGCAGAAAAGCAACGTGAACCATGCAAACATGTAAGGAGTTTTGAAGGTCGACCCGCCCAAAGCACGCAGAGCATTCCGCACGGCCAGTTTTTGATGGTCCGCCGCAAGAGTGCAGAGGGTTTTCCGATTGAAGGCTGAGCTTCGCAGAGCGCGCGGCCGTGCCAACGGTCCCGTCTCACCTGTTCCAAACACGCCGCCGTCAGGCGTCTCGACCGAGGTGGTTTGCGCACTTGCCGAACAGCCGAACTCATGCGCAGGGCCCCAGTTCCCATTTCTCGCTCTTGTTCTCCACGCGTTTCCAGCTTGTGCTCAGCCTTTTCACACACAGACACACACACACACACACGCAGCTGGCGAAGCTCTTGTTAAACTTGTTTTGATTGCGCGCGTATGTAGGCGTGCATGTATGTATGCATGCTTGTATGTAACGCAATGTATTGTATTGTATTGTATTGTAGTGTATTGCATTGTAGTGTAGTGTACTGTACTGTAATGTAATGTAATGCACCATATGCACGTATTTCAGTTCAATTCAATTCAATTCAAGTCAATTCAACGCGATGCCATGCAATGTGACGCATGTATGTAATGCAAACTACTTGGGTCTCAATTCTTGTCCAATATAATGTGGCCTCTCATGTTGCTCTACCGATGGTTGCCCTTTGACCTGACCGCATGGCCTCAGGACACCGGCTCCAAGGCGGTGAGTGAGGCTCGGGATGCGCCTTCCGGTGGTCCCGCTTTGGGCCCCACTTTTTCAAGCAGCGCCCGGTGTTGCGATCACGGGAAACAAACCGTGAGAGGATGGTTCATGGGAGCGTTGGCTCCTTTGTAGGGCAAGCCCATGATTGGAAGATTTCCCAGGTGGAAGCTGCTGCCGAGGAGCTTCTTGCCAGCCTTGAGCTTGGAGCAGAGAACAGGAATCGACACGCGGGTGGTGCACGACTGGTCACGACTCAGCGTCGCTGTGTGGTTGGCACCGTTCTATGTGTGGTTGGCAAAGGGTCACATGTGTCAAGCCGCAGCTTTGGATTCATACTTGATTTAACATCCCCTTCCCTTGCGCAGGCGATGATGCAGCGCTCCAGCTCTTTGCAGAAGCCTTGGATCCGCCCGTGGCTGAAGGGGGGGGGGAGAGGAAGGCAACTTGCCGGGATCAAGGCTTCAACTGTTGGCCCAACGGAACATCCCCCAAAAATACTTTTGTGTTTGAAGGGCATTTGAGGGCTAGACGACGAACTGTATGTCGAAAATCAGTCTTTTCCAGCCATTGCACAATTTCGCGGATTCCGGGTGTTTGTTGAGGGTAAAGGGGAAGCCACCCCCGAACCACGAAACCCACCCATCCAGTGGGAAGCTGAATTCTGCTGGGATTTCTTGGAGTTAAACCTCCCATGACCCGCCCCTTCTAGGTCGCTGCAGCGGGGCACGGACTTCCTAAAGCGACTGGCCAATGCCCGAAGTACGGATTGCGACTGGCTTGTCTTTTTTTTGGTTGGTTAGATCCACCCCGAAATTGGTTTTCGGTTTCCTTTTAAGAGCACTAGAAGAGGGGTCCTCTGAAAAAAGAGAGAGAGAGAGAGACTTAAACAGTTACGAGTCACGACATCCTGCAAGACATCCTGCTGGAACGCTTCTCTCTTGTACTTGTACGTGCTCGGGGGAATTCGAGAATTCTCTTGCTCTGGACCCGTTGCAGGCAGCTTGACATGTGTGAAAAGGTGGCTTTGACCTGCCCTGCAGGTGAGGTGGCTCAAACCTCCAAACTCAATGCACATCTTCAGCAAGACCTGGTCTTGCAAACCCGGCCTGTGGCCGTACGTTTTGAGAGCCACACAGCGACACTCCAGCCTTTGTTTGCTGCAACCGTAATCGCAATGCCGGAGCCATTGATGGAGCGTGTGATGTCCGTGTACAGGCGGAGCCTTGTTGCTCAATGTGCATGGAGTGCCATCCATATCCATCGATTCTCAAAGCGCAGCCGAGCCATGAATTGAACAGCAGCATTGCGCCAACATATAGATCAAATTGTTCGGGGATTGCAAACAGTTGGGTGCATTTATCCTTGCGTCGCAGGGAGACCGACAAGAATGACGACGGTTGGCTGGATAAGAAAGAACTGTCATCGATGCTGGATGCTGTGGGCATGCCAAAGGACGCACGTTGCCAGCATTCAGTTCATGTTATGCAGCTTTGGCTGTGTCTAGCACGTGCCGGCTTTGGTTCGGGTACAGGAGCGTGCTGACTTGCTCTTTGATGCAGCGGACGTGGACAAGAATGGCTTAATAGACTTTGAGGTTCATTTGCATTTGCATGCTCAAAGGTTTGTCAGGTTTGAATGAGCAGCGCCACCATTTTGTGTGCCAGGAATTCTGCGGGTGGCTGTTTTCAGATGTGACTCTTGGCTGCCGGAAGAACCGAGATACTGAGGTCATTGCATTGCATGTTGACTGATGCAACATGGAAGTCAAGAGATTGTGTGCGCACGCGCCTCGCATCTGCGTGACCGATGCCCAGGAAGAAGTCCATGGAGGTTTGTGTGAAACAGGGGGAGATTGTGGACAAGCACTTGAAAATCGAGATGTGTGTCGGCGATGTTCTTTGCTATGCTTTAGATGAGAAGCTGGTCCGCGACTCTCTTGAATCAAAATCGGTTGCATGCCTGACACGGTGCTACAGTGCTACGTCACGCAAGCCTTTCCGCGCCTCGTGCTGAGGCAGTCGCTTTAGATACGAGGTCCAGGTGAAGCCGGACGAAGCAGCGCTGAAGAACCTGGAGTCCAGAGCCAAAATCTACGCCGAGGAGAGGAAGAAGCAGCAGATCGAGGCCCTGGAGAAGGCCCTGGTGGATGCCAGATCCAAGCTGGAGGCCGCCAAGGCCAAGGCTGCAAAGAAGGCGCCCAAAGACTCCAAGAAAGGCAAGGATGGCAAGGATGAGAAGGGCAGGGAGGACGAGAAGCGGGAGCCTACCGCGGAAGAGCTGGCAGTTGAGGAGGCCGAGAAGAAGGTGACCACTGCAGAGAAGGCCAAAGCGCAGGTGGAGGAGGCCCCTCCGGACGTCCAGCCAGTGGTGATGCTGGAGCAGGCCGGGGAGTTTGCAAAGCCTATGAAGGGCTTGGATATTTCCAGGAATTTCAGGAATTGTTGCGAGGTTTAGAGTTACTTGAAGTTTAATTGAGTGAGACAAAGACACGCAGAGACACCACAGGATAGGTGAGCTTGTCTGGCTTGAAGGTGTGACACTGACATCAACCCTGTCACAATCAGATCAAATGAACCGCCATTGCAAGAAGTACAGAAGGCAGTTGCGTGTGCAAAGCCACGGGGCTTTGACCAGGTCTTCGAGAACTTGGTTGCAGTAAAAAACGTGTCTTCAGGCAGGGGCTTCTGAATAAAGCTCCTTCCGCGCCTTGTGCGCTTTCACGACAGGCTCCTCTGGCTCGCATGTTCTGAAGTGGAAAGCGAAGGAGGAAGGCAACGCCGCAGTGCAACTCGGCCTTTTTCAGACCCAAACCTGGTCCTGTTTTGACTTCTCACAGTCGTGAATGAATCGAGATCTCAGCGTTTGTGTTGATCAAGGAAGGTCCTTCAGCATTACAAGGTGGTGGGGTGCTCAGTCTTTGTTGCTTGCAAGCAGCAATCCGTAAACTAAGCTGGTTTAGCAGCGGGATAGGTGCTAACAGGTCCGCTTCTCATTTTCGGTAAACCCGTAACACCGTAAATCCGTTTTACCGTTTTACCTGGCAGGTAAAACCGTAAAACCGTTTTCCCGTTTTCCCTCTTTACCGTTTTACCTACAAGGTAACACTGTAAAACCGTTTTACTGCTTTACCCGGTAACTTTACCGTATTACGGTTTTACCGTTTACCTGGCAGGTAAAACCGTAAAACTGCTTTGGCGTTATGCCGTTTTACGGTTGAACCGTTTTACCTACAAGGTAAAACCGTTTTACCGTTTTGCCGCAAAACCGTTCTACCGATGCACCGTTTTTCAGCGCCCAGCATGATACCCTTTCTAGGGGTTGATCCCCAGTCAGTTCTGTCTACCCTTTAAAAAAGCCAGCTGTTTCCCGTTATAGGATAGGATAGAATAAGATAGGATCATATAGGATAAAACAGGATAAGACAGCATACGGCAAGACATGATAAGATAAGATAGGATCAGATAGATATAGATGTGGATAAATTCATATATGGATAGATAGATACCTAATGAACGAGGCATGAGGACGAGATGGACGTTGCAGAAGTGACAATGTGCTGGCGCAGTAGCTGGAAGTTGCGTGGCAGGTGCGCTCAGATTTGGGCATGTGGGAGTGTAAGATGCCCAGCCCGGATTCTAAAGGAATCTGGAAGCTGCTGCAAACTGCTGCGGCCTGAAGGCCTGCGAGGCTCCATGTTGCAACTTAGCGTTCCACGCACACATACACACGTACACACATACACACATACACACACCCACACGCGCGCGCAACACCTACCTACACGGACGTCACACACGCGTGCACGGATGCATACATACATACATACATACATACATACATACATACATACATACATACATACATACATACATACATACATACATACATACATACATACATACATACACGCGTACATACATACATACATACATACATACATACATACATACATACATGCATGCATGCATGCATGCATGCATGCATGCATACATACATACATACATACATACATACATAATTACACACATGCAAGCGTACATGCGTACAAGCATACACACATACGCGCCCATGCACCTGCGCACAAGTACAGACAGGTGCACGCGTGTATTTACATGTACTTACACGTACACACATGCGCATACATTACGTAGATGTACATGCGTGTGCACGCCTGTACATGCGCGTACATGCGTGCGCATGCATGTTTTGACATGTTTATACATGCGCATGTATATACATGCGCGTATGTGTACATGTACACATGGGTACATGTGCGTACATACATGCGAATACAGTCCGTACGTGTACATATACGTATCTACATGTACACACGTGCACATACAGGTGCACACATGTACGTACATGCCTACATGCGTGCATGCGTACAGTTGTGTGTGCATAAGTGCGTGCATACATACCCACACAGCTACGCAACTATATACCTACATACTTAGAAACACACATGTACATGCGTTCTCAAATGCACGCACGCGCACACACACAAACGCACACACACACACACGTGCGTCCACACACACCCAAACGCTCTTGCTGGCAGTTCCAGAACCGGAGCCAGATCCCTGACAGTCGCAGTAGATGTGATACATAAGATAGATAAGACAGCTACGACCAGAAGGACAGACAGGGTAGACAGGACAGATAGGAAGGGACAGAGGATAGATAGGTAGGTAGGTGGGTTGGTAGATAGACATATCGATAGCTAGATACAGACGATAAGATAGGAACATATAGAGCAAGACAGTATAAGGTAGGATAACATGGACTAAAACAGAAGAGGATAAGACGGGATAAGATATGATAAGATAGGGTGCGACAGAGTAAGATAGGGTAAAACGGGATAAGATGGGGTAACACGGGGTGAGGTAGGATAAGATAGAGTAGCATAGAGATACAAATAGATACAGACAGATAGATAGGGCGATCTATATATGCAGAAATACAAAAAGACAGCCCGATAGATGCATAGGACAAGCTAGCCTAAGATAGGTTGAGACACGGTAATATAGGCCAACGTGGGATAGATAGGATAAGATAGGTTCATACAGGGTAAGACATGATAAGATAGATAAGACATGACAACTTATGACAACACATAGTACAGATTAGATAGATGTGATAGACAAGGTAGATATCGCATATACGATAGATCAGATAGCTAAGATGCGCGATATAGATAAGACATGTATGACGAGATAAATGGGACAGATCGCACAGATCGGACAATGGACATGATGTTTAGATAGATAGACAGACAGATAGGTAGATGGATAGAGATATAAAGACACATAGGATAAGATAGAAAAAATGGATATGGTAGGATAATATAGGACAAGACTGGGTAGGACAGCATAAGGCAGACTATGATAAGAAAAAAGGATCATATAGGACTAGGATAAGATGGATAAGGCTGTAGATATAGATACAGAGAAACGCCGGGGTTGGCAGAGGTTTGTGCGACACGGAAGGATTCTCAGCAAAGGGGCCCTATTCATTGCCTACGCATTGTTCAGTTTGTGGTAAACATTATGTTCTTCAACGCTTGTTTGCTTCTTAGGTCCTGCTCATTTTGAGTGGGAAAGAGCAACGGCTGCTCCCAATATACCTATGGTTTGGGAAGTTGAGACTGAGAAAAGGGGATTTGGGAAATTTCGTGGCTCAGCCAATTGGTAGCAAAAGGGCGCTAATCGCTTCGGAACTCTAGAAGCATTCTGCCTCTTCTGGAAAGATTGCCAACATCAGCGGTGCTCTTATATATATTCTGTTTTGGTTGGAACACAGTGTCTAATTCATGGGCCTCAAAGTCTCAAAGGTCAAAACACGCATCCCCGGATGCTGTAACAAAAGCCCAAGGACAGCAGGAGCCCTTGTCCCCCCTCCAGCCTTTGATGGGACGTGTTTTACCGTTTCACTGTTTTACCGTTTTACCGGGGAGAACGGTAAAGCCGTTTGCCGTTTTACCGTTTTACCGCTTTTCCTCAGGAATCTATGGGGAGGACCCAATAACACCGACCCCACCGCCTAACCAGCACAGTATGCCATTGCTCTACTATTTCCGATGCTGCTGAAGCTTGCCAGCGTCAGCCAGTTGCGTTTCTTTTCAAGTTAAGGGCCTGGGTTCGCGCGCCTTTTGCTTGTTGTGAGCTTTCCATCTCGCCTGCGGTGAGCACCGGAGCACGGGAGCACCGCACCTGGCAGGTGGAGGGTCCGGAGGAGACGGAGGTGGACAAGGCCCTGGGGTGGCTAGTCGTGCGATAAGTGGGGAATGTGGGAAGATGAACTGGTTTTGGGGCTCCAAAGTAAAGGAAACCACCAGTTGGAGGGTTTAGAAGGGTCACCGTTTCTCATTCCTGCCTATCGCACCAAGTAGTGGTGAAGTCATGGTGGACCGGTTTGGTGTGAGACCTCAGCAAGATGCCAAGAGGGACTTGCAAGGTAGTGAACAGCAACACATCCCTATGCAGGTAGATGAGTACGACTTCACCGTGGTCGTTGCTTCCTCCAAGGATGCATCTTCGCCAGGTGGCAGCACTAACTAGGGTGTTTCCTTCCTCGCGTTGCCGTGCATAGTCGGCCAAGCCGGATGAAGACACGCCAAGCAGCGAAACTGAGGAAAGCAGATTGGTATGCTTGGAGTTGGTACGACGTGAAATGGGTGAAAGCTCCAGCCAACAAGGCGCACTATGCCTGCGGTGAGTAAATACGCGGTGGCTACTTGCAATTGCATTTCATGTGCTTAGAGGCCCACCATCTTTTTTGCAAAGACGGGCTACTGCAAAATCAGAAGGATTAACCGGCGGTTTTTCGCGGCTGCGCACTAACGGACGCTTTCGTCAGAGGCCGACAAGTTTGCCAAGAAGATGGGCAAAGCTGCTCTGGAGACTCGATGCGCTCAAGAGGTGTTATTTGGCTGTGGGTCAAAACTAATGGTACCATTTTGGGGTAGGTGCACCACCCATTTTAGTCTATTTTAGTGGGGATTGGGATGTTTACTGGGGGTACCATTCTTGACCTTGCGAGGAGCTTCAATGGGTGCCCGCTGTGTTTGCGCCAAAGAAGGAGAAGCTGTGGCTTGTCGGAGAGAAGGCTTCCGGGAATCACTGGCCGGCCGATGGCAAAGATAGGGCAAGAAGGGGGATAATATACACAGCCACGCATGCAAAGACATTTGCACATGAGCGGTACGACCAATGAGGCATACACAGCTCACCTACTGCTTCAGCCCCAAGTGCCTCGATTTGGATTGAGCATAGACTGGGGTGGTTAATGACAGTGCACGCGACAATTCGAGAGGCCTTGCCTTTCCGTTTGCACAAGTTTTCATTGGGCTAAGCAGACCAATTCAATGACCAGCCACAATTCTTCTCAACGAACGAGAAAGACGAGTCACAGCAGAAGGTCTGCACAAGCCTTCGTTCATCGGGCCCCGAAGATGGTGCACGCAGTGTCACAGCCAGCTCTGCAAAGCAGAGCTAGCGCCGACTTGGTTTCATGCCGGCAACAGGCGGTACAAGTGCTGGATAGCCACGGGCGCGTCGCTTTGGCGGTGACACCTCCTAAGGCTGAGACGGAGGGGGCAAAGTGCAGATGTGATGCCGTGTGGTATGGCGACACGCATTTCTGACCTGCTTTGATTGATTTTTCCGGTTTGCCATTCTGTACGTGGCTTGCTTAGCCAGGATTGCTTATGGGTGCAAGACTTGTGGCCGAGCACCTGGAGAGTTTTCATGACAAATGTCAGAAGTCAGAAGGGCTGCAACTTGGGTCTGCCAAGCTGGCGCCTACATGGCTGTGGCTCAAAAACCGGTACCAAAATGGAACCCTGGTAAGTGGAAAAAGGGACCAACACCTGCGTAACCCCTCCTGGTTAATTTTGAGACTGGCCTGCTGCTTCTTTCCGACATGGCCTTGACCCATGAGTGTTTCTCCAAATTGAGGACTTTGCAGGTAGGTGGTTTGCTTTTGGTTTCGATCTTTTGAAACCATCGAACATGGGGCCTCCTATGTTGAGACCCCAGATACCTGGCTCGCAGGCTCGCATTGCTAGTCGCACAGGTCTTTCCTCAGCCAGCTGCATTTGCGTCTTTTGCTTTGATGCTGGACGCCAAGCCACACCGTGCAATCATTTGGCCATGGGTCGAAAGCCAAATCGTACCCCCAGTGAACATCCCAATCCCCACTAAAATAGACTAAAATGGGTGGCGCACCTCCAAAATGGTACCATTGGTTTTGACCCACGGCCATTTGGCCTCGCAGCATGGGGGTTGATCATAAGGTCCTCATGGGGAAACCACGGAAAGAGATGACTTTCCCCACAAAACGGGAAAAGCTACGCATGGTCATTTGGGGGCCCGGAAAATGGATCAAGCTCCGCATGTCAGGCGGGCGATCATGAAGGCCACGATTTCTACATCTCCCGCGGGATTCCGAGCTGAACAGTGTGATGGGCTCGGAAAAGCAACGCTTTCAGCTGAGGCTCAGACTACGGCTGCTGCGATTGTGGTGATGCAATGGCCCAAGCAGTGAACGGAGTCACCTGTTTGGCCTTCTTGACCGGGTCAGCAGACGTACCTAGAACGTGCCACTCCCTTGGGGCCCCTTCAGGTTTTTGCATAGCAATCCTCAGATCGGGTAGTACGTCGATGGATCGACCGAGGCGTACGCTTGGCGCCAAAGCGGCTTTTGCCGGCACCATCCTGGACCTCGGGAAGAAGTGGCTGGAAGCTCGGAAAGGTGTTCGGATGATGGTATGAACCTAGCCCTGAGCCACTCACGTGTTTTGCGGTCGGTCATGGGATGGACATGCAGCCCTTTAAATGCAACATGAAGAATACCCAAGCATTTGGGCCCTAGACTTGCTTCGCCCAAACCAGGTCTCCCTGATCGGCCCCCCAAAAAAAACAACCAGGGGTGAGGTCCAACGAGGCTGCGGCATCCATTTGCCCGTGCCGCTGGATTTCTCAGGATCCGGCCCAGCTGCTGCCCGAAGCCACTCGCCGACGAGCGCAGCTGTGGCTTGGCTCCATGGAGAGAAACTTTTGCGAGACGATTGGCTGGTCAAAAATAAGTACCCAGAACAAGGAACCCTGGCAAATGGTTAAACATGAACTAAATCTGCAGTCCCCTGGTGGTTGAATTTCGACCCACAATGGAGCATTGAAAACAAGTTTCCCTCTTTCAGACTGCATCCAAACGCCGAGTTCAATCCGTCTCTTGAGGAGCTGATGTGTTGCTTTTTCGTTGCAGGTTGATCCCAGCGCAGGTCCGTCGCCTGGCTTGGACCCAAAAGGCTGAGTTGGATGCTTGAGGAGAGAGCGGCTCGCATAGGTCAAGTTCCATCCTAGCGTGCTGCCTGGAGTGGTGCCCCAAGTCGCTGAAGTTGCTGCGCATTTCGAAGCAGTGAACTGAGTTTCAAGCTTTTCCATAGACTCGGCTTGGAACTGGGTGTCAGTCCCAAATTCAAGTGCCAGGGACCGAAGGTGTTTTCCATGTGCCAGGGTTCAACTTTTGAGCCACAAGGCTGCCAGCCCACCTCCGACATTAGGCCACCGGCAGTCTGAGTCCGGCAGGTTGCTCCACCTCCTGTCCCCTGTGGCGACCGGCGGGTCGGAGCCTCAGGCGTGAGAGGATCTCTCCCAAAGCGTGGGATACCAAGCTCCGAAGCCACACCTTGTGAGAGACTTGTCCCATCCTGAGTTGAGTTCCTGAGTCCCTGAGTCCCTGAGTCCCTGAGTCCCTGAGTCCCTGAGTCCCTGAGTCCCTGAGTCCCTGAGTCCTGGGTCTCAGGCAAGTGCAGGCAGTCTGCAAGGCGAGGGATTCTGAGATATGCGGATGTCTCGTTTTTTTTTTGCAATCTGGGCAGCTAGGCTACTCAATCTCTGCCAAAGTGTTGCCCTCACACTGCTTGGGCCTTCTGGGCGGTTAAACGGTTAAACTCTACCAATGCTTGGGCCTCCGACCTTTCCCTCACCGTTTCGATTGTGTCAGGCGGGAGCTCAGAGAGTGGAGCAGGACCGACCGGGGATTGACTGCGATGGCCAATGCCTTCGGAGACTGATCAGCGCAGATGGCAGGCGATGGGGAGACGCTATCCAGCGCTAGCCAAGTCGAGACCGAGGTCTGGATCCATGGTATGAGCCGAAACTAAAAACCAGCGGAAAGCCGCAGGTGCTAGTCTATGTTTCCATTGTGCCAGATTCCATTTTGGGTACCGATTTTTGACGCACATCCATGTCTCAACTGACGTGAATGTGTAGGTGTTTCCATTTATTAGGTTGGGAGCAAAGCAACGGGGCAACTGGCGGGATATGGATCAAAATTGAACCACCAGGAATCGGACAGCAGGTTAAACCGTCCATGTTTCCATTTACCGAACGGGCGACCCAGTTGGGGGTTTGCCAACTATTTTTGACAACCACACTGAATCCTGCACCACTTCGAAAGCATCGGAGACCATGGCTTGTTGGTATTTTTTTGGGGGAATCATCATTACAGGGTTTCTTAGGTGCAGAATTGCGTCCATCCACGGGTAGCCACAACTTGTGATACCTTCCCACATTGCCAGGGACCACATCACGTCCTCATCTCCGGCATCAACTTGCGGGTCACCGAGGAGCTCGGTTGCATGCGACGTAACAAAAAGTGAAAGCTGTGCGCAAACCACGCGGCAGGATTGGGGACTCTTCCAGGTAGGTGGTTTCCAATTGGTTTCAAGTTAAAACCCCTCCAAAAAGGGGTCCCCTATTTTTGGGAAACTCCGATTTGATTCTAATCCACTCATACACTGCCCCTGATTTGGCATGTCCCTTCAGAAAATCGCAGCAACCTCTTGGCCGCATGTGAGCCGTTTTGTTTGGCACGATCTCCAAAGCTCTATCAATTGGTCCCGGTTCATGACTACCAAGCTACGAACAACTTGCTGGTGCGATCAGTAGGGAATGTGGGAATTTGATCCCAGGGATTCCCTCAAAGGAAACCAGCAGTTTGGTTTGAATCAGGGTCATTCCATTTCTCCTTCCCTACTTATCTCATGTTCAAACCAAAACAGGGCGGCGCGCCCAACGCGCGCGCCCTGGGCGCTCGCAGGAGGTGCTGCGGGAGTTCATCGAGGGGAAGCTGTCCCCGGTGGAGGCCTTGTCGTGGCGAATCGAGCGCCGGTGTCGGCTCCGAGGCTTCGACGTCTAACGTTTGCGCCCCTTTGGAGTGTGGAGCCACGGGCTCCTTTCAAAGGTCGAGATGAGTTGCTTTCATGCTTGATGGGCATGAAAGGTGTAGCCCGGCTGAGACACGCGTTTGGCGCTTGTGGCTCTCTGGACGTGGTGTCAGGCATCGCTGCAGTCGCTGGAGCTTCAGCGAGATCAGGCCGGGGATGGAAGCACCGCTTGGCGGATGATCCACACGCGGATCGCCTTCTAGGAGACCAAGGCGTCCAAAGGGCGAGCCTATGCGACCCTCAGCACAGAGGCCTGCGGAGCGACCCGTGAGGGTTCTGCAGACTGGGCGGCTTGAAGAGGGTAGAGGCAGGCCCCATGGATGAAACGCAAACCAGAGGTGGCCAGTATGACCGCCTCAGGTTGTCACTGCTCGCTGATTGCACTCCGTTTGGTCATTCAACCCAGCATCTTGCTCAAGCCCTCCCGAGCACGCAATGTCGGTGCCAGCTGCTTGGCAGTCTCAATGTGCAGGGAAGCGCCCGAACTTTGGGGATGGAGACCTGGGAAACCTCAGCATCATTTTTGTTGACCCTGGTTTCATTTTGGAGGTGGTTCAAACTTTCTTGGCCTGGATGGGTTTGGCAGAAAGAGGATTGAGAGCACGCGCCTTGATTGATTGATTGATGGTTCAAGTCAGGCTAGCTGCAGGGCGCACATTTTCTTGGGTATGAAACGGCATTTTCATGGACACGGCCATGGCCCTGCGCTTGTGCCCTCCTTGACAGTGCCTGCAGAGGCAATACCCTTGACAGTGCCTGCAGAGCCTGACTTTTCGCAGTTCTTCCAATCTGGCGTTCATTGTGCAGTGATCGAGCGCATGCGCCGTTCTGGGTTGATGTGCGATGCAGACATTGCTGGCCTGCGACCGGATGAGCTGGTGACAGCCATGTCTGGCTTTATTGACGATGAGGAAGCTGGATGGTACATCGAGCTTGCCCGTGGCGCTTTGGCATTCCTTGCCAGGCGTGCCAGTGGAGCCCCGCAGTGCGCTCGCCCTGTTGAAGGCCTCCCTGTGCCTGCTGTCAAACGGTGCAGGCTTGTGGGTAGCATTGCGCCGGGCGCCTTTCAGTGGTCGCAGAATGCTCTGACTGCCCTGAGGCCAGTTCACCAGCACTCTGAGATGGTCCATGCTTGCTGGGAGATCTATGCCGCCCTTGGCACGCATGGCGAGTTGTGGTCACCGTTGCTTGAGGAGCACCAGGCCATTGCTCGCGAAGGCCTGGCGAGTCGGCTGCAGATCTTTGAGCGGCGCACTCTGCAGGCGCAACTCAGCGCCCTGAGGCGGTGGGCCAATTATGTGTTGCAGTTTGGCAAAGGGCCTGCAGAAGTTCTGTTGCCTCCGGTTGCCCTGCTTTTTTCCTTCCTTAAGCAAGCGTCTGACGGAGGGCCAACTGCAGCGCAAGGACTTTTCCAGAAGCTGTTATGGTGGCGTCGGCATGTCGGCATACCATTCCCGCTGGGCGACCCCATGGTTGCAACGTGGAACCGAGTGGCCGAGGGACACTCTATCCAGCCTCGTGTGCCTTTGAGCTTTCGTGCTTTTCAGGCGCTCTGCAAGCTGGCCCTTGGTGGTTCCACGAACGTTGCTACGTTCGCATCTTTAGCCCTTATCCCATTAGTGGCTTGCCTGAGGTTCGCCCACGCGCAGCGATCTGATTGGACGCTGTCCCGCGACTTTGCTCGCGCGGTTTGCTTGAAGGGCAAGTCGCGCAAACATGGCACGCGGCCGTCGTTCGAATGGGCTGCTCCGATGCATGTTGGCAAGTGGAAGCATGTTTTGGGCTTAGCGTCAAGGGTCATCATTGACTTGCGCAGCCAGGTGCCTGACTTGTCCTTTTGTATCCCAGATGTTGCCTGTGGGCCCTCCGGTTGCCTGGACGAGCGTGCGCATTGGCGAGCAGCCCCGATGCCAATGGCGCGCTTTGTGAAGCTGTTGCACTCAGTGTTACGTAGCGAAGGTTTGCCTGATGCAGAAGTAGGCCTTATCAGCACTTACTCTTTGCGACGTTTTTTGCCAAGTGTAGCAGAGGTCTTGCGAACGCCAGTGGAAGTTGCCCAACACTTGGGAAACTGGACGGAGTCAGTTACGACCAAGCATGCCCAGCCAATGCCAGTGCAGATGAGCCAGCACTATGCTCATGACAGAGTGCTCTCCGCTGGGCACACTAAAGCTTTGTTGTGCGCAGCAGTTCAGGAGTTGCTCGAGACAGAATCCGGGCCGCTCGATTGGCAGTCTTTCCGCACAAAAGGGCTCAGCTGGCAGCAGATTTTAAATCGACATTCTGCTTTGACTCCTCCAGCAGACAAACCAGTAAATTGCCAGGGAAGTGACAGCGAAGCAAGCAGTGACGAGACTTCGTCCTCTTCCGACGGTGGCTCAAGTCACGAAGGGTTGCCGCATGACTTAGAGTGGTTTCGTTTTGCCCGTGGGGTTTCTCATATCGCACGTGAGCGCTCCCAATCCCAACCTGTTCCTTGGTGCCGTGGCACTCCGTTTGCGGGAATTCCCTTGGAGTGGGGCATCGGAATAGAGCCAGGCTTGCAGATTTGTGCCAAATGCCAAGCCTGCGTTCCACCGCACATTAAACGAGCAATCGACTCCTGCAAATAGACAGTGAAAGAATTCTGCGGCTGTGCGTAATAGGTCAGTGTGTTTGCCACTAAATTTCCTGACAACACAAGACACGCGGGTTTCAGGGCTTCGGGGGCCTTACACTCATGTTTTGTGGCCCTTCGGCCCTCGGCCTACATTTATGTCTTGTTGGCCCCCCTGTTTCTTTGCAAGCTTCAGCTTTGGCAAAGGCTTCTTGTTGCGGGGTTGTGCCTACTCTTATTTGATTTGTTTTCCTTTCACACGGCAGGCTTTTCCCCGAGTGGCGTGAGGCATGTCCAGTTTCAGGGCTTCGGGGGCTTCGCGCAGCCTTTTGGGTGCGTGGCCCTTCGGCTCTAATTGTTGTTTGTTTGTTGGCCCCCCTCTCTTGCAGATGCGGGTTTGTGCCAACTCCTTTTTTTTTTAAAAAAAAAAAGATTTGATTGGCAAGTTCATCCAAAGTGACGTGAGACATGTCCAGTTTCAGGGCTTCTGGGGTTTCGCTGGCCCCCCTTCTCTTGCAAGCTTTCGGCTTTTGCTGGGGTTTCTGCTGTTGCAGGGTTGCGCCCCCTTTGTTTTGACGGGCAGCTTTTCCCGAGTCACCATGACATGTCCAGTTCTAGGGCTTTGAGGGCTTCGCGCAGCCTTTTCGGTGCGCGGCCCTTCGGCCATTGACCTACGCTTGTTTTTGTTGTCGTAGGGATGCATCCACTCTTTGCTTGGCCAGGCTAGTCTTTTACTGATCTGGGACGAAGGTTTACGGAGATTTGTGTGTTTGCCAACTTTCAAATTCCCTCAGTCACGCGAGACATGTCGGGTTTCAGGGCTTCAGGGGCTTCGCGCAGCCCTTGTGGTTGCGTGGCTCTTCGGCCCTCGGCCTTAATTTATGTAGTGTTGGCTCCACCCTTTTTGTGGCAAGCTTTCAGCTTTTGTGCACTGGTTTTTAACTTGCTAATCTCATTTGGTACATTGACAATCAAGCAGCTTGCCAAATTCTCACCAAGGGTGCCAGTAGTGCAGGGGATTTGTGCTTCATCGCATCACTAGCGCATCTCCTGTACGCAAAGCTGAGTTGCAGGGTGTACTTCGAATACATCGAGTCGAATGCAAACCCTGCAGATGGTCTCTCCCGTGATGGCCTTGATGATGCGTGGACCTTTTCCCAAGGTTGGTCCTTGCTGCCGGCAATTGTGCCTGATTTAGTTCGCATTGCAGCGTCTTCGCTTGCAGCAGCTTTGACGGCATTGTAGCATTGGGGGGAACTTTGGGGTGGCTTGATTACACACACACACACACTTCAGAGCGCCCTGTGGCTTTCACCTGCACTTTGTGCTGTGCGCCCTCTTGGCCTCTGTGTGTGTGTGCAAGCTTTGACTAACCCAATGACACTCCCTTCTTCAGCTTGCAGACATCGGCATTATCTCACACTGCATGCGAAAAAAAGAGTGCGCCTTCTGCAGCAAGTTGCCGAGCTTTCATTCAAACTTTCTTGGCCTGGATGGGTTTGGCAGAAAGAGGATTGAGAGCACGCGCCTTGATTGATTGATTGATGGTTCAAGTCAGGCTAGCTGCAGGGCGCACATTTTCTTGCCCGCCCACCACGCCCTGGCATTGCCAAGAGTCTTGGCCTGCCTGTGATTTCTTCTGCCAAGCTTGAAGTGGGGTGGCTTGATTACACACACACACACACTTCAGAGCGCCCTGTGGCTTTCACCTGCACTTTGTGCTGTGCGCCCTCTTGGCCTCTGTGTGTGTGTGCAAGCTTTGACTAACCCAATGACACTCCCTTCTTCAGCTTGCAGACATCGGCATTATCTCACACTGCATGCGAAAAAAAGAGTGCGCCTTCTGCAGCAAGTTGCCGAGCTTTCAAATTCATATTTCAGGTCGAGCAAAAAACACGGAGTCCATCCCAACCCGGGCACCGCATTTGCCAGCGCCAATGGGAGCGAACAGCTCCTGCCGGCAATTGATGGCCTTTTCACTGAGGCGATGCAGGTGAAGCTGCTTTCCCCAGCAGAGCTGCCGAAGCGCATCGGTGCAGGCGCCCCAGGTGTTCCATCGTTTTTTCTCGCTTGTTTCTTCTTCTTTTTTTTTTGGGGGGGGGGATATGTTTTTTTCTTTCAAAGGCTGCAAGCTGGAAGCTGAGGCCGGCTTCGCCGTGTTTGCCGCGCAGGCCGCACGAATCCCGGCGCGGCAGAAGGCGAGTCCTCGCCACGCTCGGTGGGCGGATTTCCATTTCTCCTTTGAGGGTAGGGGGGTTTGGCAGTGGCAGGGCATTGTGAAGACCGGGTTGGCCATCGCAATCCCAGAGGACTGGTGCAAGACAGCGGGATTGGCGAGAGATATTATGAGGGGAGGCGGCAAGAGGAAGAGAGCAAGGTGGCGAGCACAGCCTGGGCGACAAGACTTTAGGCATGCACGTGTTGACAGAACTCACCTATGGATGTTGCCAAGCGGCTGCTGGCCCTGTCAGAGGAGACCTATGCGCGGGTGGCGCCTCTTCATGGCTTAGCCGATCGCATGATCCTTGGATGCAAACTATTTGCGGTGGAAGCTGGAGTGGGTCTCTTGTGCACAGATCCCCGAACAGGCTCTGAACTCGTGATACAGCATATTGCTGCATAGAACAGTGCAGCGCAGCCAACTCTTTATCCGGA